GCCCCAAAAAAAAATCGCCTCATAATACCCATCCTTTACCTAATCGAATCGCTTAACCGACCTTTAGTTGTTTCGTTGATTGGAGCAGTGCTTGGTTATTCATGTCTTTGCTTGCTTGCTTGCTTGCGTCCAGTATATAAAGTCATCCAAAATGTGTAAAATAAATTTATAAAACCCCGGTGGCTGTAGGTAGATATGAAGAAGAAGAAGAAGAAGAAGAAGAAGAAGAAGAAGCTGACAAAATATATAAAAATAAATAAAATTTCGTGACTCAATAATAAAAATGATCAAATGCTTACACAGGCAAACAACAGGGGGAATCATGCTTTGGCTACAACAAGTCGCGACAACACACTTCATGTGGGCTTTGTATATAGAAAAAAAAAAAGAGAAACTCCTCGCTATGCATGCATTTACCGACCGTGGATATAGCGTGGTTGTTCAACAAGGCCGTTAACAATGGTGTGGCTGCAATGCGAAAACTTTAAATATCAGCAAGGTCGCGCGACGATAACAACAAGTCGACGATTGGGGGGTATCAATGCAAAAGCAGAACACCAAATGCGGCAAAAAAGACACAACAACTATGCCCTCGTTGGGTTGATGCTCTCGAGTTCGCTACGCTGGCGCAGGTACTTGGCGGCAAGGTGGTCGCCGCCGCGCATCGATTGCTCCATCCAGTGCTGAGCGACACACATGGTCATGGGATCACTGCGAGCGGGGTCTTGCGACGCCCTTCTCTCGCGGTTGAGCAGCTCCGTCTTGAAAACCTCGCTGGGTTTGGTGAGCGGGAGCACGGTGCGATGGACCAGCTCGGGTGAGGTGAGGTAGAAGATTGCGAGTTCACGCTCGGCAACTGCGTCGCCTTCTTTGGCGGTGATGAGAAGCATGCGAGCGGCATCCTCCATGGTGTACTTGGACATTGGCTCCTCGGCTGGAGTTGGTAGAGCGCTTGGTATACCCGACTTCTCAGTCGTGCCAGTGTTGGCCTTTCCTGCATCGCGCTTCGAGTTCTGGGTGATGACTTCATCCACAAGCTCGACCATGATGCGGCACACGTCTTGCTTCAGGCCTAGTGCGGCAAGACCGACATCCCAGAATGCCTTGCCTCGGGCAGTCTTGTCAAGCATTTGCGCAGGCACAAACGAAGCAATGTATTGTAAATCTCTGAAGAGCGTCTTGGGTCGGATGTTGGAATCCCGGAGTAGGCCTTGGATGACCTCGACAATCATGTCTGTGCTTGGCGGTCCGACAGGAGAGCGTGCGCCATTGCGGGGCAGCGGGGAATCGTTACTTACGCGATCTACATTCATGCTCTGAGAGCGGCGCTCCTCGCAGTTTGCAATCGCTTCCTCGAGGTTTTGTGCGCGCGACGTCTGTGTGGCTGGCTCACGGGAGCTGAGTTCGGGCATAGCGCCGAGGGTTGGCGACTGAGGAACCGGAGGAAGTGTCTCTCGGCGGTTGTTGTACGACTTGCCTGTACGTGATGACAATGAAGCAATGATCAAGAGCTCCAGCTCATAGAGCGCGTGAAGCTTGGAGTAGGGGTTCGGGTGTGTCTGGAATCTGCCTAGTAGTCTTCTGAATGCGACGTTGTATGGGAACTCGAGCAGCCCAGCCTTTTTCGCGGTGGTGTTGCCTGCTGAGCGAGAGGTTGCGTCGCTTGAAGTGGAAGAGTGCTCGCCAGCTGAGTGATGAGCATCAGGTGCTGCAAGCTGGTAAGTTGCAACAGGTGGCGCAGGGGAACTGCGCTCGTTGCGACCAAGCGCTTCCAAAGGCATGTTCCTTTGGTCGGGTGTCTGCTTTCGGATGTTCTTCATGCTCTTCTTGGCCAGCTGCTTCCTGCGCTTTCGCTCTTCCTCATCCCTGCGCTCGATGCAGTCGTCGAGGATATCGCCGCCAAACCAAGAGTCCGTCTCGCTACCGTTGGCGAACACCATGGTTCCCAAATCACTCAGTAAGAGACCGGTAAGTGTCTGCTTCAAGTCAAGCATGAAGCGCCGCTTGTCTTCGTTGACTGTAGCGGATTGCTTGAGCATTACCGTACCCTTTGATGATGATGCGGTACGTGGACGGATGCTGGTGGCGTTGGTAGGCGACTGCGCTTGTGTCTGGAACGGCGACCAAAAGGTCGCGACGGAGTCAATGGAAGAACGGGAGATGAACCACCAAAGTAGTCGTGGGAATCCATCGGGTTCCTGCCCCAAGGGCTGTGCTCGAAGCCGGACGAGCCATTGCGGTTGGATGTGGAACGCAGGCTGCCTTGACTAGGCCGTTGCGAGAAATCGAGGGTGCGCGAGCCAGGTCGACCGTGCGTCTCGTACTCCTCGTCGCCCGCAATGGACAGAGTACCGACGCCTGTCAGGAACAGATCGCCTTTTTGCCGTCCGCTCTCAAGGATTTGCTGGTCGCGTTTGTACAAGTCACTGGCCCAAAGGACGGGTCCATCCAGGACACCTTCGCCAATGACTTTGGTGACACACTTGTCGACTTCGAGGCAGAATCGGTGGATCCGCTCCTCGCCTTTGCAGAAGTTCTCTACGCCGTACTGCATGAGCCACTTCAGTGTAATCTCTGACTGCTCGTCCGACAGCTTGTTTGGACCGCCAAAGTCTTGCGAGGCAGACATGAGATCGACAAGCTGAGCTTCATTTGTTCGCAAGAAGCTGTTGGCAGTCCGCGACCGAAAAGCAGAGGGGCCCTTGGTATTGAGGGCCTTTGCTTGTTGGTCCATAATCTTGAGAGCAAGCGCAACGTTCCTGGCGTCCTCGTATGGCTTCGATGTACGGACATCTGTGACGTACCACATCTTGTCCCGTAGGTTCTTGAATTCGAGCATCATCTCCTCAACCATGCCGTCTGATCGCTCCTGAGACTGCTTGAGCCACACGAACCATGCTTCGAATTCCTCAATGGCATTCGCTGCTTTGCTGAGCAGGTCCCTTGGGCCACGCGAGAAGTAGTTGAGCAGCGTAGCATATCCGTTCTTGACCAGTGTCGGAGAGCTGAGTCTTCGTAAACTTTGAAGTGTCTTGTAGTACATGTGCGCATTGACAAAGTCAGACCGAGCTTGGCACTGGTACATGGCCGTCTCGAGCATGGTGACAAGAACAGAGTTGTTCTCTTGCTTCTCGCCAACCTGCGGGTTGCTGTGGCTTCTTGGAATATGGGGAGAGCGTCTGGAGGAGACGTTTCTTTGACTAGCAATCATGTTGGTAAGCTGACTTTGACTCTGGGTTGCGTTGTATGGGTTGCGAGATCCAAGGTTCTCGCTAGCAATCCGTACGGGACCGCGCCCGCGATTGCTCTTGCGCGTCGTCATCCGGTTGCTGAAGTTTTTGGATTCGCTGTCTGGTGCCAACTCTTTCGGGATTTCGTATTCCTCCACGAGCTTGGCGATGGCTTCCTTGAGCTGATGATAGTCGCTGCCAAGATCAAATCTGTCCGCAGTGCCTTCATCGTCGCTGCTGTCGCTGTCCGGAGAGTCTTCGTCATGCTCATCTTCGTCGTCGAAATCTTTACGCATACGCGGTTTCAGTTGCTTGCCGTCCGCGGAGATGTAGAGTACAGCCCATCGCTCAGCACATGGGTGACACGAGCCGGCAGTCGCTTCGTAGCCGAGAATGCGAGTCATCTCGGAGCATGACATGCGCAGACGCCTTCCGTAGAGCTCTGTGGGTGCGGGCTTGACGTCAATCTGCTGTTCCGTGGTTGTGGAGATGTTATCCAATAGTGGTTCTCGCGAGGTCTGGTCGCTTGTCATGGATGAAGCACTGGCACTAAGGATTGAACTTGCGTCTGTCATTGAAGCGGCCGCATTGCGGAACGGGACAGACATTCCAGACATTGACGAGGCAGAGGATGCCAGCCCGGTATGGCGCTGGCTGTCAGTCTCCATATGGCTAGATGAAGGACGGCGCTCCGGGAAAAGGGCGTTGACCAAGGTGATAATGTCCGCAGGAGCAAGGACAATAAAAGGCTGAACTTCGACTGTTTCCCGCGGCGAAGTGATGGCTTTGGCGGGAAGCAGGATAGGCTTCGATGGAGTCTTGGTGTGCTTGAACCGGGCCAAGATGTTCTCAATGTGTGTGCGGATTTCCGGGAGCACGGGCACTTGAGCCCGCCTATCGTCAGTTAGCCAAATTTGATCGGAGCCGGCATGGAGAGAGTTATACCAATTGTAGGTCATGTCCGTGACGTGTTTCTGTGCTCGGACAGCAACTTCCTTGAGGATCTTCATGCGGGCCAGCTCGCTAATGTGGTGTCCAATCATGATTCCGTGCGTCTATTTTGTATTAGTATATCAGTCCCTAGTAGGGAGCAAGGGAAACATGCCTCAGGACGGATAATGGCATTGAACAGGAAAGAAGAGAACAGCCAGCGTGAAACGAAAAAGTTCTGCGACGCCTTGCGGAGGTTCTTCTCTTCACCAAGTTTCCGGAGGATGGCATTTCCAATCTCTAGGGCACCTTCAGGGATACCTCCAGCGCTGGGTTCATCGTCGACAACCTCGAATAGTCGCTTAACGGCCTTGTCGTAAAACTCATCCGCGGCGATGGTGTCCTTGGTACTCCGGGCGGTCATCTGTGTTCCAGACCGTACAGCGGGCTCCTCTGCCTTTTCGAGCAGAAACTGGCCATCCTGAAGGACCTGCATTATGTAAAGCTCCAAGTTGGCTTTGCCAGGCCATTCCCGCATGCCCGCCCAGACGTCCAGTACAGTCCGGATGAAGTTGTGGCTGGACTTTGTGTCCTTGATCAGCTTGGCGCAAACCGTAGCCCAAACATCAGTACGGCGAAGATCCTCGGCGGAATCCGGACCCGACGAGTTGGCAAAGATGGTGTAGATGAGAGCTGAGAGGGGATCATGGCGCTGGAAGGACAGAAGACGCTCCACCGGGCTTGATCCTTGTTGATTCTGCCTCTGGGGCCCGACGTTCCTGCCGCGGGGTGTCTGAAAGGCCGAGACGGAGTCTATAGGATCCATGGCTTGACGAAAGGACGTAAGAGCAGCGAGCTCTTGCGGAGAAAGATTAGAAATACGGGTAGCAAGAAAGTCAGGATTGGTACGAATTTCGGAAATGAAATCTAGGAGGTCGTCCAGAATCTTGGACGGCACCTCGTTGAGAAAGGTCGAGGAAGTGAGGGGCTTCTCCCCCCGCATGTTCTTGGACTTGCCAAACTCCAGGTCGGGCTCCAGCAGGGCATACTGGCGTGTGGCGTCGCACGAGTTGCGAACATCGTTGAGGGCGTTGTACAGGGCGGCAAAGGCCTTTTTGTCATCCGACCGGAAGCTATCTACCAGCGAGCGGTAGGAGAGCTCGCCGCAATGTACCAGACGTGCGGAGAGGGCGCTGGAGACAAGCCAGCGGTGCAGGCGGACGCGCGAGTGGGCTTTTCGCTGCTCCTGGTAGCCCTGGAGGCGGATGAGATGGGCGAGTTCAGCGAGGGAAGTGGCCGAGGGCGGTATGGCAGCCGTGGGCAGGTACGAGTCTGTGTACGAGGACAGGTCGGCGGGCAGTAGGCGGGGCAGGCGGCCAGCGGGTGCAGACATGGAGGCGGGCATCTGGGGGCGTTGCAGCGTCGACTGGCCCTGGCGCTCAGTGTTGCTGTTGCTGCTCTCCTGGGCGGCGGCGCCAGTTCGACTCCCCATGGTGGATTCGATGAGCTGAGTAGAAGCACTCAGGACGGGCGACCGGGTCGGGTTTGGGCTTTCAGGCCGGGGCGGAGCCTCAGCAGGCGGGTCGTCTTGGTGAGAGGTAGAGTGCGAGGGCGTATGGCTCCTCGACGAGAGATGGGTGACAGTGGGCGAGACGGCTAGTCGTATAGGTCAGCGTGGGCTCGGATGCCAGCTCATCATACAGAGCGCATTGATGTTCGCGTCCAGCTATTGGGTCCAGGCACCGGCCGAGAGACACGCAGGCACGGCGATGCAGAAGAGCATTACGCGCAGACAAGAACGGAGACATGGACGGAGACTAGGAACAGCACACAACTTACGCGGAGGCGGAGTCGTCGAGGACGCCTGCGCCGGGGGCGAGGCGGTAAGTTGACTTCGTCTGATCATGTCGCCATGAGATGGCGGCGTCGAAGCCCTACGGGAGTGGGTGCGGGCCTTGAGAGGAGGTTTGGGTTTGGGGAGTTGGGCGATGGTCCTACAACATTGCCAGATGTAGCGATGGTATTGGGAGAGGGTCCTCTGCTTTGGGCTCAACTCTCCACTACCTCGACGTGTGCGCTGGCCGCGTCAAGACTCTTTAGGTCGCATCGGTCCAGCCGGCGTGTGATTGGGTACGCGTCTCGAGTCCCTGTAACATGTTTCCCTCAGCGACCGACGAGCTCTAGATTGGTGGCGACGACGACAGACCGCCTCCAGACGATGACTTGCAGGACCAGCACATCGCCGTGGGACGAATGAGGGCCTCTAGTTTCTGCATCACGCTGCAACAAGCCCAAATGCCTCAGCAGCGAAGCCCACACGTTCCAGCGTTCCAGCGTTCCATGCCAGCCCATCCAGGCAGACAGTAGACAGCGCACCCCTTTGATCGGCGCTTTGACTACTGTAAATCACAAAACATGGGCCAAGACGCTCCCGCCGCCATGTCGCCATCGCCATCGTCGTCGAGCTGGAGGGCCGTGAGTGCGAGGCTACGGATGACTGGCTGGGGGGGGCCGGTCTTGACCGCATCTGCCCCTCCATGACCACCACCACTACCACCACCACCACCACGACGCTTCAACACCACCAAACCTCAACTCTCTCAAACACGCTGCACTTTGCATCTGCACCTTCCTTCCAAACGCCTGCAGCCCGGCAAATCAGCGGCACGCAACCCTTCACTTCTCGTCCTCGCCCTCGTGACCCGACGCCCGTCGAGTGGAGCTGGCCTGCCCCTGCGCTGCCAGCACATCAAGCGCAGCAGCATGCTGTCAAAAAGGGCCATGCAACATGCTGCACGCCAAAACATCGCGTCTGGCCTCGCGCCCTGCTGTGAACCGTTGTTTATCCCACTTCAATCTCGCTGTGCGTCGCTAGCATGCACCCAATCCCAAACATCCTGACCGGTCAACCATGGGTGTCCCTCGTCTTGTCCAATGACCAGCTTCCGAGCACCGCATGCTATGCTGCACGCAGCTTTTCCTGCCTCGAGCTACCGCTGCGGTTGCTGCGGAGCTTTGTTCTCTTTGCATGTTTGCAGTAAAGAACAATACGTGTAATGCACCTGCAATTGCCTGGTACCGGTCATGATTGATGTCGCCGTGCCAATATTACGACAATGATTTTGAACATGTTTGTAGCCAGTCTACCTGGATGTCGGAGCTGCTACTCCATCTGCCGATCGCGTGCGAATACCCCGCTACCACAAAGTGCCGGCTCACGGCAGACCGCTCCTTGATCAGGTACCCACGCCTACCGGGTCTACCCAAGATCGGCCTTGGGCTGACGTTTTCGTTGCCCAACCGCCGCTATGCGCCTATCTACAGTGTAAACATGGGGAAACTACCAATGCATCCCAACTCCGCCCGAGCCCCGTTCTCGGCCTGGCGTATCGCCCTGCTGTGGCTTGCTGCGGTAATGTATCCATCTACACTCGTGACTGCATCACTCACAGTTTGCTGTCCTGACAACCGAGTCATACCATGACTTGCCTCAGCAAAGGCGCGACGCGTTTCCGACTGTGCTGTACTTGTCGCTGCCACCAGATCCTTCTCCACTCATTGCCGCCGTCAACGTCGCTGGCGCCCTGCCACTCTTCGAGCCCTAGTTCATTGCTCGAATTCGTGGCAAAGGCCTTCGCCGCTGATACGGCGCTTTCGTTGAATGCCCAGAGCAAAAGCTGCCTCTGAAATTCCCCGTCCGAAGACGTCGACGTGGTCATTACCGAATACAGGTCCAGGTCACGCTCCTTTGCAAATTTTTCCAGTGCCCCAAACAACGCCTCTGACGGTTGCGCGCTTGCCTCGTCACCAGCTTTCTTTTCCAGAAAATCAATTGATTTGACAACGGAGCTGATCCCGAGCTTGTGGCCACCCTGGACCCATTGCTTGTAGTCCTTCCGAAGTATGTCTTGCAGCTCTAGGCTACCAATGTCCTTCTTCGCTGCATCGATCTCCTTGTAGAAGCTGGCGCGATCGAAGCTGCCAGCTAATTGCGGACAGAGCATGATCTTGGCTTCCAGATACTCGACAGCCTGTCGGTCATGCTCGGTCGTCTTGCTTTTGTCCTTGAGATCCGCTGTATCGATGAGAATACTGGCCAGGCCCAATTGAGCAATATCTGCGTCCCATCGTTGAACAAAGGCAGCGTCGTTGGACAGGCTGTCACCCTGCGCATGGGCTGCGCCAGAGGACATGGCAGCTGCAGAAAGCGTGTCCCACAAAGGCCGGCAATAGTTTGCTACCAGACTAGTGCAGCTTCCGCTCTTGATAATAACACGTGGCTCATCGCCAGTGTTGCTGGGCACTTTTTCCTCATCGTCGTGGTGGTCAATGACGCCAGCGACACGCCCGGAATAGACTTTTCCTAGTTGGCCTTGGAGAGCGTTGTGGTCTACCAGGATCCACTTTGTGTTTTCTGGTGCAAGCTTGGACTGTATGTCAGCTAAGGCAGGCAGGTCATCAAGCGTGATCAAGTGCTTAGGCTCAATGTTGGCGTGCTGGAACACGGCCAGATACTCGGGTCGCAGCTGTACATCGGAAGCAGGAATGTTGGTGATTGGCACGTAGACTGGGCTGAAGGCAGTCTTGGGTGGTGACATGGACCGAATGTATGCGTATAGTATGGAGCATGACATGGAATCGAGATCTGGACTTTATGAGCATGTACCGCCCCGTAGTAAGTCGGAGTCATGCTCACCCGCCGACTCATTGCCAATGACAAATGTAATCTTCTGGCTGTTATCAACGGCTTGACGGAGAGCGCCTTTAGCGTGGGTAAGAAAGCCTCGTAAGGAGTTCCTCGGCAACGCCATTGCGGTTTGTAGCGGTGAGACGGGGGAGAGGTATCGGAGAGGGTGAGGCAGACGAGCGAATGGAGGTTGCGAATGACGTACCTGAGCTCGGGCCACAACACGTGCACAATGAAGATTGGAAGGAACATTCAACCATGGTGAGCTTCGGGAGAGCCGGTTACATGGGATTAGGGAGATGCATTGCTTGAGATATTTAGTCTTGATATGACTACCTCGGGCGTAGACTCGGTCAACTCAGACTGCAGCGTCTGTGTGACCTCAAGTTGCCCGTATCGCTACCTACCCAGCACTTGGAAAGGCTTCGCAGGGTGATAGCGAGAAGTACATGGCAGCCTGTGTGAACATACGCTTTGTCAGCAGTGTGCTCATGAAAGCTCAATACTACCTGCAGGCACACCCTTCATGCTCCGCAGCCGACGAGCAAAGAATTGCATAATGGGCAGCATCTCCTCGCGACTGCTAGGCATACCGTCGGCATTCTTCTTCCACTCTTTGATCTCCACGTATTCAAAGGCATCTTTGAGCCTAGCGGTAGCGCTCTCGGTAACTGCCGACTTCTTGCTTGCCTTGCAGACTAGCACGGGCGTCTTGCTCTTCTTCTCCAGAGCTCTGAGGGGCACGGATGTCGACAGCGGGCCTCCGATACTGATGACCCCGCCCAGCTCCTCACCTTGGAGTTCGGCGGCAGCCTGGAGGCCGACCATGCCACCTTGCGCAAATCCGAACATGACAATTTCTCGCGGTTTATAACCACATTTTCCAACGAGGCCCTCACGGATGACCTGGTCTAATACTATGCGCATGGATGCTTTGAAACCAGTGTCCATGTCCATCTCGCCGGTGGCCGGATCAAAAGTCATGTCATCACCCCAGTGACTGCCACCGAGGTCAAACGGTAGCGGCGTCGGTGCCTGTATGGCGATGCATGCTGTCTCTGGCAGATTCAGCTGCTGTCCGAGCTTGGTGAAGGAAGCATTTGTGTCGCCGAGGCCATGTAGGAGAATCAAGACGTTGGTCGGCGGCTGCGACGCGGGTGCTGCACTAGTTAGCCGGCTGGACGCGACACAGACATGTCTAACTTACGGGCAGTAATGGTCAAGTTGACGGATGCGGGGAAGTCGGCTTTGGTGGGGAGTTGGCCAGGCATGTCGTGGTGCATTGATGGAGTTTCGGACTTTCAGATACGAGGCAGTCCGGGTGGAGCCTCGGGACATGTTCCGACATGTTTTCGCTAAGGGGCTAAGCCTTGCGTCGCGGATACAAGACTTCTGCGACGACACCCTCTCCATGACCAGAGATGGAGTAAATGTTAGCAAAAACGGACCTTTTCTTCACACATGATTCAAAGCACGTTCAAAACTCCCCAACACGCCACTCTGCGCACGGGGCCTCGAGCGGTAGGATCCGGATGGCCTGTCATGCTAGGCTAAGCTTTACCAAGGAAGCTTATTTGGTTTGCCGTTAATCCCGCCACACCCTGCGCCATTACGCACGCGTCTTGCCTGATTGGGCCGGTCGATATGTTCTGAGGTGACGTATAGTCCACTAAGAGCAAGATATCGAGTCGTTGGCGCGTCGATTGGCGCAAGAACGAGCTCAGGAAGGCCACGGATGCTTCGCAGCTGTGGAACAAGTGGTCCCTGAATGGCTGTGGCAAGCACCGGAGAGGGGCACCATCAGTCTTTATACGTTGATTCGACCCGTGGATGTTTCCAACAAGCCGCCGTCTCGCAGCGAGCTGATGACGCTGGTGCAAAGGCATACGTGCATGGAGCCCAGCGGGGTACTTAAAGACGCATCAAGTACGCTGCATGAGAGCATCTACCTCCAGCACCTTCAATCAACTCCATCATAAATCTCACATCTTACGCACACAAACCAACTTATCAACCAAATCGCCAACATGGGTTTCTGGGGTAAGCTACTATCTCTCCCTATGCATCCAAGACTAACATGTATCATCTAGACAACAAGGGAGAGAACTACGACCAGGTCTACAACAATGACAACTTTGAGGAGAACAAGTCTAGCTTGGGCCATGAGGTGATTGTTGGAGGAGCAGCCTTTGCCGGCTTCAAGGCGTTCGAGGACCATCAGCGCAACGAGGGCAAGCCCGTATCCCACGCCTTTGCAAAGGAGCTACTTGCCGGGTTCGCAGCTGCTGAGGTATGTGCACTATGGTACCTTTGCTATAGTGCCTGACGCTATTCTATTCAGGTTGACAAGCTCGCCGAGACCAAGGGCGAGGACTGGTTCGACCGCGAAAAGGCCAAGCGCGATGCAAAGAAGCACGCTGAGCAGATGTACGACGACCATTACGTCGACAACCACGGCGCAGATCAATACGACCCCAACCAGTACAGTGGTCCCCAGCAGTTCGACAATCGCAGTTGGTAGGCGGGAGATTGACGGACGGGGAGGTTGTGATTGGTCAACTCTTACAGAAAGTTTCACATGAACCAATCATGTACTAGCTTAGGCTTGTAATCCGTGCTGCTTACTCTACAATGCTTATTGCAAATGCTAACAATGCTTACAATGCTTACTCTGCAAAACGTCGTCGTGCATATTCCAACGTCATGTATACCCTGGCATTGTCTTGCGTTGTAGCCATTGCGAAACGATTTGGTCGTGGTTGCACGTGTTGTGAGCCCTGGCGCTATATGGCGTGGTGGCAATAACGGGCGAGCCAAGCCGGATATTCGTGATTCGTGCGGCTTCACCGTGTTTCCTCCACCGTGACAGCTGTAGCCGTCGCGACACAAACCGTTGTGTTGTCGCATAGGCACACGACCCCGGGGCCTTCTTAACGTTGGTTAGTCCGGCGACCTCGGGAGAGAGACATTACGTAGTACTACTTTGCTGCCCCATGTGTCTGTGAGGAGCGCTGTTGTGTAAATTTCTCCCGGCCTCGCTAACTATCGACTCGCCGACTGCATCGTCATGAAGTTTGCAAAGTGAGACGGCTGCTCCAATCATCGCAATCATATTACTGACGACCATGACAGGGAACTAGAACGTGAACTCGTTCCTGAGTGGCGCCTCAAATATCTAGACTACAAGGCATGCCGACCAATCCGCTAGCTCAATGTCTGATGCCGATGGTTACTGACAAATACCCAGGAAGGCAAGAAGAAGCTCAAAGCCATCGGTCGTGCCCTCCGCAATGTCGAGCAGTCGACGCCGCGACCCTTTCGATGGACCGCAAGCAACGCGCTATTCTCCTCCTTTGACGCTGCACCCAAGTACACGTACCTGAACCGCGACCATGCCGGACCAGGAGAGACGAGTAGCCCACGCGACCAGGATGGCTTGCGCTCGCTGGCCATCACGAACAGTCGAAATAGGCACCAGAAGGAAGACGAAGAGCCATTGACCCAAGGCAATACCGAGCGACCAGGACTTGGCAACCACTACGGGAGCATCATCGGAAGCCCTCCCAGCCCTGCTGAGCGCAGAAAGGCCAAGGACAAAGCATGGACACCGCCGTCCTTGACCCTTCCAGGCGCAGCTCTCGATCCCGACCGCGCAAGCTCGTCACTTCACAAGCAGCAGTCCGTCACGTTGCCCCCGCCTGCAGAGCCTGAAAACGACCACAAGACGTCTTCACCAAAACACAAGCACAAGTCACTGCCGGCCAGGTACATGAGCGTTTTCAGCCCTAAACGCATAAACTCAAACCCTAGTCCCATTACCCAGTCCCACGACCAGTCACGCCCTCCGGCGCGCCGTATCTTTTCATTGGCCAACAAAAGCCCACTAGTCAGCCCGCGCGACGTCCCACCTGAAGCCTACCGTGATCTGGATTTTCGACAGGCCGACTTTTACAACTTCCTTGATAGCGAATTGGAAAAGATTGAGAAGTTTTACAAGCAGAAGGAGGATGAGGCTACTCAGCGCCTCGCTATCCTGCGCGACCAGCTGCACATTATGCGAGATCGCCGCATCGATGACATCATCAAAGAGCAAACCGACAAGATCAATGCAAAGGCGCACAAACACGATAGCACTGGAGGCCAAAGCAGCTACTCAATTGATGAGAATCAGCGAGCCAAAAAATTCACAGGGGCCACGGTCAAAGATACGTTTCTGAATCCCATAGACGCAGCATTGGACGCCATCAACGCGGGAAAGTACGGGAATAGCACAAAGAACATCTCACAGCTCGCATCACCACGGCCTCAGGATGGCGTCGATCGCCGTGACTTTGCTCGACGGCCCGAATTGGCAGATGTTCCCTATCAAACTGCCAAGCGGAAGCTCAAGGTAGCACTCCAAGAGTACTATCGCGGATTGGAGTTGCTCAAGTCATACGCCTTGTTGAACCGCACTGCGTTTCGCAAAATCATCAAAAAGTACGACAAGACTGTCAACGCACGCCCATCGTCTCGTTATATGAACGAAAAGGTGAACCAAGCTTGGTTTGTCAATAGCGATGTCATCGACGGCCACATTCGCGCTACCGAGGATCTTTATGCAAGATACTTTGAAAAGGGTAACCACAAGGTCGCCATTGGCAAGCTCCGCATCAAGTCTGCCCGCGCGGGCGACTACACGGACAATACCTTTCGCAACGGTCTGTTGCTGGCGGCTGGTATCATACTCGGTGTCCAGGGTATCATCCAGGCGCACAGGATAGCCGATCTGAGCAATACCGACGGCAGTACACTTGCCGTCAATACGAGCTATCTTTTGCAGGTAAGTCGGACATGTCATTTGAACCCAACCCGGCTAAGTTTTATAGATATACGCCGGCTACTTTCTCGTCAACTTCTTGGTCCTTTGCTTTTGTTTGGCCTGTCGTGTATGGCACGAAAATAAGATCAACTACGTCTTCATCTTCGAATACGATACCCGCCACCACTTGGATTGGAGGCAGCTTTCCGAGCTCCCTTGCTGGTGTCTATTCATGCTTGGCCTTTGCATGCTGATGAATTTCCACAAAGTTGGTGGCGAGAGCCTCTACTTGTACTGGCCCGTCATTCTGATTGCCATATCCGTCGCGATTCTATTTTGTCCTTTTAAGATCCTCTACTTCCGTACACGCATGTGGTTGTTGTACTCGTTGGTATGTGTCCTGGTTTTCACTAATAAGTTTCTTGCTGACATGATGACAGTGGCGTCTGCTTCTTGCTGGTATCTATCCCGTCGAATGGCGCGATTTCTATCTAGGCGACATGTTCTGCTCCTTGACTTATAGCATGAGTGGCGTTGCTTTGTTCTTTTGCCTATACGCACACGATTGGATCAACCCACCACAGTGCAACTCGTCTCACCTACGCATTACCGGTTTCCTTACCACGTTACCTGGTATATGGCGATTGCTACAGTGTCTTCGACGTTACAACGACACGGGTAACAAGTTTCCCCACTTGCTGAACGGCGGAAAATACGTTGCCACCATCTTGTTCAACGCCTCGATCAGCATCTATCGCATGGACCAGAGCCCGCAAACCAAGGCCGTCTTCATCGTTTTCGCCACCATCAACGGCATCTACACCAGCTTCTGGGACATCTACTACGACTGGAGTCTAGGCGACCCAAATGCCAAGAACCCTTTCTTACGCAAAGAGCTGGGCTACAAGAAGGTATGGTGGTACTACACGGCCATCATAATCGACCCCATTCTGCGCTTCAACTGGATCATGTACGCCATCATACCCCTCCAGCTCCAACACTCGGCCATGACATCCTTTTGTGTGGCGGTCAGCGAAGTCTGCAGAAGAGGCATGTGGTCCGTCTTCCGTGTGGAAAACGAACACTGCACAAACGTCGGCCGCTTCCGCGCCAGCAGAGACGTTCCCTTGCCTTACTACATGCCGTCTGGCTGCGAAGAGCCAGAAGACCACACCTCGGGTATCCCCCGCAACCCACAGCGCATCGACGAGGAACAACCCGACGCTCAACACCCATACATGCCCACGCAATCTCCTCCTCCGTACCCCCCGCCCACCACCAACAACAACAACAACAACAACAACCGCCTCGCCGCTGCTTCAGCCGTCGACCTCGGACGCGTCCACTCGTATATGCGACCTTCCCCCCTTCAACGCGCCTTTTCTCACGTCGGTGACATGTTCCGCGACGCGCACGCAGAGGACTTTGAACGTAAACTCAAACCGGAACTTGGTCGTGATCCGCGCGATGCTAATAAACTCGTTCCGGACGATGACACGGATAGCGATTCGGATAATGAGGAGGGTTCGTCGTCGGGGTCGGGGGCGGCTGCTAGTGGTAGTGGTAGTGGTAGTGGCAGTGCCGGCGAGTTGCGTAGTAGACAGCCGAGTAAAGTCGACCCGGGGCTCATGGCTCAAGCTGTAAAAAGTAGAAAGCAGAGCAAAGTCGACCCAGAACTCATGGCTCAAGCGACCAAGAGTAGACAGCAGAGTAAAGTCGACCCAGAGGTCGTCGCACAGGCTGCTAAGCAAGCAGATGACGAAGCTGCTGCTGCTGGTGACGACGACGAGGCGGCTAGTGCGTTGGATAGGATACGTGAGGATTTGACCTTGGGAGTTAGGAATGCAAGGTCCGATGCTTCTCATACAGAGGCTGGGAAGGAGGGTGGGAAGAAGTGATTTGCGTGTTGTACATGTAGTTTTAGTTTTTTTTATGGATTTAGATGGTATATATATATATGTATCTTTCAAGAGAGTTGTGTCGTTTCTTGTGGTTTTTTCTTATGTGTGTGAAGGGGGGTTGGATGGTGAGTGGTTAGAAGACAGGTAAACCTTTAGACTAGGGATTAACAAAGTGTGGGGAGGTAAGAGAGGTAAGGAGAGTTGATTTATATTATGTGTAAGGGTAGATGTAGATGTAGAGGATACTATTGGAACAAGGTCCCTCTAGTAGTATGACTACTATGGATAACCGAGTGGGAGGAGGGACAAGGCGGGGTGGCTGCAACGTATTGTATTGACTATCGTATTGAGTGTCACCTTCCCAGGCTGTTGTGGTGGATGCCATTGCCTACTAGGCAGTACCTGCCACACCAGCACATCATGTGACTCTCAAGCACCTTCTACCCTGGACTAAACCTAGATATTCTCAACAGATACTTTATTTTAGGTGGAAGAAGATCTAAAGGGACACACAAACGACCGCATCAGCCCTCGACCCTTTTAGCCTTATTATTTACCTCCATTGTCGCAGGTTTTCTGTTATCGTCAATCGCGCACATCTTATCGTCGCCGCATAGCTATCACCGTCTCCTAGTATACAGAAATGTGTGTGTCATGTATGCAAACCTTTTCTTTCCTACTATGAGTACATCTCCACGCTCGCAAATTCGCCGCGTTAATATAACCATTTGAAGACTTTTAGATGGGTCGACTATGCCATCGTACCGGCATCTCACTCTTTGCTCTTAGTAACCCGAACACGGACGTAAAATTTCCCCAACATGCATATGTAAGCATGCAAAATAACAATCCCATACTCGACCTGATTATGCCATGATGATGCAAAGGGACTTGCTTTTGGAATGCCCTAGTGTTTGGGAGAGGCGGCATGGCGGCGCTCGGGTCGAAGCGAGACGGCTATGCCGCATTAGGCCGTGTACCTGCATGGGTAAGGCAGTCATCTCCGTCACGACTTTTAATCTGAAGCGTGGTTGTTGGATAGAGTGGGGACGTGAGTGAGACCGAGATGCAGATACGGGGGCGGATACCTGATGTATGTGAAAGGGTGAGATCTTGGCGCTGGAGCAATCTTACTAACTATTATAGTCTCAACGAATCATGGTGAACCCGCGGAGTAAGAAAACTCTCGGCCATGTCGCCGTATTTATATCGATTATATCGACTCTAGTGCCAGGAACAGACGGGGGAAATGAGACGGCATGAGACAGGCCACTGCTCATCTCGCGCACGGAAGAGGCGTCCGTGATGATGCAGTCGATAGGCGAATACAGTGCGCGATGGAATGCTATCCCGTAGCATCTAGTGTGTGCGATACTAGCGGAAAACAAAGCTGGTTGATGTATCCGTGCGAGTATGGATACAACGCGATATCACGTGAGCGAAGCGCCGCGTGCGATGATCGGATTTCCAGTCTGCATTGCGGTAGCGCTTTGTCACACCGTTGTTGTCTTTGGCGTGTGTGAAACCCGGACGTGGGCGGGGTAAGCAGACTACTGTTGATTGCAGCAACGATCTCGTGAGCGTTCCAGATGACGCATCGCGCAAATCGTGGGTGAAATGCATGTCATTTCTAGCTGCTGTCATTGGCGCGGGAAGATGGTCGGTTTCCGGGGACTTTTCTTTGCAGGCGACAAGACGTACACACGGCCTGGTGGGACATGTTGCTGAACGCCTCGTGATGCCCTCGGTGGCGCCACCTGGGCCCGGTGTAGGGCGTGGGCTTGCCTCTGGCATGTTACTCAACAAATTTTAAAAGAACCACACTCGATGGCTTAAGGTCCCGACCAGGCAATGTTGATAGGGCGGGCAGCGCCCCCCATCACCATGGAACAAAGCAAGTGGAAGCGCGGCAGCCGTGTAAGCGACTACTCTGGTGGTGGAAAGTACGGTGAGCAAACCAAAGCTTGAGACAGGGTTGTGTCTTCAACTGCAGCACCCCTTGGCGGGCAAAGTCACCATGACGTAGAGGAGAGAAACCAGGGTAGCTGGTAGTAGTGGTAGGCCGTGTTTGGCCACTCCAGACTGGGAGATTCCGCCTAGCAAAACTCAATCGGCGCGGCGACAGGTGCAGGGACGGACATGGTGTATCAGATTGTCGAGGCCAAGTATCGTCGGTCCCAGCGTTCCATGGGCACAACCGACTCCAGTGGGCAAACCCCAAGCAAACGGGCGGGGGATTTGCAGCAATCAGCGTGGCGAGCACAGACAAGCCTGTGTCTGCGAGGCTGCAGCACGTTTATCGTGAAAGCGGCTGCGGCTAGGTAGTGTTGGGGCACAGTGCAAGTCACGCATTGAGGGGAATTGTCGGCCCGCTTGCTCTCACCCTAGCGCGCTACGATAAGCTCGACCATGGATGAGTTGCCGTTGCCCTGTAAAACCTTGATTCCCATCGCCATTTAGCATGCCACTCTCTTTCTTTCTCTCCATCCTCCATCCTCTCCTTTTAATCGTAATACCGCAATCATGCCTCCGGATCCAAAAGACGCCCCGTTTCCTATGAAGCAGCTCATCATCATCGGTATGTAGCTAAATAGCCCTGATGTCATGCCGATTGGACCAATCTGACCGCCGCTTAGGAATATGCCGATTCTCCGAGCCTCTTGCTTTCAACTCCATCCTGGCCTACTCGTCAGTAATGGTCCAGGATCTTGGCATTGGTAGGAGAGATGCCTCTTTGTATGCCGGTCTGCTGGTTTCCGCCTACGCCATTGCAGAAGCCCTCACGGCGCCGTTGTGGGGAATGATCTCTGATGTCTACGGTCGCAAGCCCGTTGCCCTCATTGGCCTGCTCGGCGTCGCCCTTTCCAGCCTCGTTTTTGGTTTTGCCCAGGTGTACTGGGTCGCCCTCCTTGCGCGTTTTGTCGGCGGTGCACTGAACGGAAATGTCGCAATCATGCAAACTATGGTAGCGGAAATGGTTAAGAACCCAGCCCACGAGCGTAAGTAAATCGCGCAGTCCTGCATATGGAACATGAAGCTAATGCGAGATAGCCCGCGCATATGCTACTCAACCCTTTGTGTGGACCCTGGGTGGCATCATCGGTTCGGCAATGGGTGGTTTTCTGGCACAGCCAGCCGTCTACTACCCCAACGTCTTCGACAAGGATGGCCTCTTTGGACGCTACCCGTACCTCCTGCCCAACATGGTTGCAGCCGGTGGAATAACTCTTGCCATTATCCAGGGTATGCTCTTTTTGGAGGAGACTCTTGTTCGTGAAGAAAAGCCAGAGGGCGAAAACGGCATTGCGGACCACCACGACTACCATGACCACCTGGACACGATCAACGAGACGCCCGCAAACGAGAGGAGTCGTCTTCTTCCGCCCCCAGCAAACCACGTGAACCGCGACCGCGACACTCGAGGCTCAACTGCTGGTTCTATGCGACACCGTGCCTCCATTGCCAGCTTTACCCGCGATCGATTGGCCTCGATATCCGTTTCAGGCAGCATGCGACACATTCGAAAACGTGCTTCTTTCCTAGAGGAGGGTATGCCCATGCCGTTCGACCAGCGATTCGATATCCGCCGCTCTTCTTTCGGAACCATGCATTCGATTAAAATCCAGCAGGACGTACTACCCATCCGCGGCGGACCTACCCCAAAGCCTCGGAAGACGTTCAACCAAACCGTCCTCATGATCATCCTCGCCATGTCCATCTTTGCTTTCCATCAAATGGCCTTCATCTCCATTCTCCCAGTATACGTTCTCGACCCGCCGACTTCGACAGGCCTGGACTTCAAGGGTGGTCTCGGCATGGACCTGCACGATGTGGGTACATTCCTTACTATCAACGGATTCATCACGCTTTTTGTCCAGGGCTTCATCTTCCCTATTTTCGTCGAATGGGCCGGCGTCTGGAACTCGTTCATCTGGATGATTATTCTCTACCCGACTACGTATCTCATCGTCCCCTTTATCAGCGCCCTCCCTACGGAATTTGAGACTGCCGGCATTTACGTTTCGCTGTTTCTACAGGCCTTCTTTGCCATCATCGTATTCCCTTGCGCTCTGATTCTCATGAAGAATGCGATTCCTTCGCCGCTCGTCCTCGGCCGCGTCAACGGTCTGGCCATGTCCGCCTGTTGTTTGGCGAGGACGATTTCCTCTCCTATGATCGGTCTCGTTTACTCGCTCGGAGGCTCTGCCGCAGCTTGGTTTGGTCTCGCTGCTGTAGCCATCTTTGGTGTGATGCAGTTGATCTGGGTGCCCAAGGAGGACGTTGGCGCGGTCCAAATCGACAACGGCCTCAAAAAGGTCATGCATCACGACATGGACGAAGACGCTGTAGATGACATTTCCATCATCGAGTCTGTACGATAACACGGCTCACGACATTCACAAGCGCATAGTTTGGCAGGGGGGATTTCATGACATGGCGGCGGGTTATGGGGTAATATGTTTTAGAGGGGCTTGATATTCACGGTTGCATGGTCGTTTGGCGTTTCTCGGTCTTTCCCCGGATCTTTCTTGGGGTCGGCGTTTATTTTCTTTCTTTACCATGACCCATGCTGGCATCTCACTCATATCTTGCATAGAGGTCTTCTCAAAAGCTCAATGACATCCGTGATCTGTTGTTCTGGCCAACTTTCTTGAAGAGACGACGCTTTGTTTTGACCAGGCTAACCATGACTCTCTGAACTAATAGCGCACGGCTAGGACGATCTAAGATGATCTTTATTGGATCCACAGTGGGTCCGCTGCCGCCCTCGGAGTTGGAAGCGTCGATAGTTCAGCCGAGGTTGGACAAGACAGCTTTACTGATATCGTGGCCTTGTACGTTTGTGTAGCAAGCGTGCGTACAAATCTTGCTTAGTCCTCTTGTACCTCCTACTACTAGACTAGACTTCATCCACGTCATGCACTGTAAGCTGTCCGGCTGTTTTGAATGTATGCAAGACTACGTATTCCGGTTTCTTTCTCGTCCGACTACCTGACTCTTCAAGGTTCTCTAGAGCTACATTGACTGTCAAGGCTTTTGGCGGCTGACAAGGATGCGGGGACTTCGCGGCATCTGGGGGCTAGCGCACGCCTTCTCCTTATTGCTTACATTTCCTCAATCAAGTTTCATGCCAAATACCGTAGCGACTTTTGAAGTGTGCACGCGGTAACTGGCGTGTGGTGGTTAGCGTGAGGAAAGGGCATGAGCGTCCAGAAGCGTGCTGCTACGGTGGCGGCACACGTTCATACTACCCCAATCAATACCCTGCCATACCACTGTTATTCATCAAACATTCTGGCATGATGAGATACGCAAATGGATTACCCAAAAGTGCATCGTGTGGGAGCGACGAAACACGGTTAGAGTTGGCCGCCCGGTTAGCAAAAGTCCGACATCCGGCTTAGCGCGCGAATCTGTTCCCCGAGCAAATGTGATGTGGCCTGCCTACATTTCGCTCTTTTCCCATAACTTATTCCGATTTCCCCAACGCCAACCTCGTACTCGCCAATAATAAACCCGTCCCCCCCCCGGTGATGCTTCTCTAGCGGAAGCTACTCACCATGACGCTTGACGCGGCAGCCCGACCATGGATCACTGGGGCGACCCTTGGGCTGATGACCATGCCGAGCAAGAAGATTGTCCGCCGAAGCTGGAGGTGATCGGACCGGAGGAACCTCGCACGCTTACGTCTGCACCCGTTGTTACGAGCCCTTTTCTGGATGATGCAGGGTGGGGAAATGAAGATGCCGGGTTTGGCGGCTGGGCTACGTCATCTGCAGCCGTCGATGCGCCTGTCGCGGTAGCTATAGATGCGCGCATAGCTAAGCCGAGTTCTCTAGGGGATGGTGCAGCTGCGGCAGATAGTCCGCGCTGGGATACGGATCAAGGCGCCGACGAGGCGTTTTCACGCGTGACAGACACATGGGTTGAAGAGCACGAGGGCGTTTTGGGGTTGGACAATGTCACGTCGGATACATCAGAAACTTCGACTACCATCGAGCCAGACAGGGAGCCAGTGCAAGACGCGATTGCGCCTGAGAAACCACCGCAGGCCGATGACGATGCCTCTCCACAACTTTCCAGGACACCTTCCGAGACAAGCCACAACGAAGCGCCCGTCGAATCATCCCGTACTTCGTTCGAAGAAGAGGGCGGAGCTAAGAAGCATAGCACAGAGGCGCCGAGCGTCCAGGATGATACAACACTCAAGGATGGCGGTGGGGATGGCGATGGCAGTTCTTCGAGCTCGGGCAGCGAGAGCGCTGATGGGGAATATGGCACCTCCACCGAGGATACGCTGTTGACAGAGGTACCTCTAAATAAGTATGTAACGCAAGAAGATACTGGCACACCGAAAGAAGATGCAGAAGAGAAGCCTCTTCCAAGCACGCCACCGCCTACAGCCGAATCGAAAAGCACCGCAGGCCCGCTCGATGCCACACTCCTAGGCGAGCTTTTCCCGCCCCTTACGACCACGAAGGAACTAGACGAAGCACCCAATGACCCCATATACGCGGTATCCAGTCGCAAAGCCTGGTATAGGCTCACACGCAACGAGACCATGAGGGAGTTCAATCTCGGAAAAGACCACGACAACTATGTGCGAGTTACATGGGCAGGCTCTCAGGTCAGGACTGAGGTCAACAAGATTGTGGGAAGATGGGCGCGTGAGGATCGTCTTTCAGGCAGAGGACCAGGAGCGAGAGCGTCATTCTATTGGGATACCGTCGCGCCTGTTGACCCTCAACCCAAAGGCCATTTACGCACGAAGACATCTGTTCCCGCGCCGCGTCCTGCTGCACCTACAAGGCAAAGCCTGCCACCAGTCTCGGCTAACACACCCATCGCGTTCGCCTGGAGCACATCGCCAACTACAGTGGACCCTTGGAAATTGGACAGCCCCAGCATAGACGCGATAGCTTCGCATATTGCACCAAAGCCCATCGCAGACAATTCGCAAACACACGAACTGGGGACCTCGTCAATGGATCTCCCGCGCAATCTGGAGGAGGCAGCATCGACGAAGACGACTGAAACGCCGGCTGTCGCAACCGTAATTCCACCTCCTATCGCATTCACAACCTCAGCAGACTCATGGGGAGACATCAGCACTCTCGACACTAACCCTCCAGCTGAAGACGCGAATGCAACTGATACCATTGACGATGATGACGAAGATTGGGGGGAAATGATATCGACGCCTACCGTATTTACACCCACTACTACGACAGAGTTGCCTAGCTCCATACCAGCGCCGCACGAAGCCACACCGTCAACCTTGGCAGCGGCAGCGGCAGCCCCAGAAACGCCACCGAACCACACCGCGGAATCCGCCGAAGCGATGCATGCGGCTTCTATAGTTCGTCTGCGGAGGACCATCTCGCCCACGTCGGCCGTCTTTGGACAGAAAAATTTCATTCCCCTTCATGCTGAGGTTGGACCTATTGGCCCCGGCATCCTGAAACCGGCCAAGCGACGTGTCGTCTCTACCACCGCGCTGCCGCCGAAGAAAGAGGAGGAGGTGGTGTTTAAACCTGGACCGGAATTATTGAAGAAAGAGACTCGATTTAAGCCGGTGAAGACGGTTGTTCGGAAGGAGGAGGAGGTTGTGTCTGCTACAAAGGTTGTGGAGAGGGAAACGTCGTCTAAGCCTGCAACACCAGAGAAGGAAACCCCGTCTAAGCCCGCAACACCAGAGATCGCACAGAAAGATGAGGAACAGGCACTCGATGACGCCTTTACGGCAGAACCCAAAACTTCAGAACCCCCCATCCTAGACACCACCACAGAAAACGACGAGGACGACTTTTCCGCATTCATCGCAAACACATCGCAAGCCCCCACCTCACAACTAACCACAACCCCTCCCCCAGCACCAGCACCAGCACCAGCACAACCAATCCCCACCATCGAACCAACAACAACAACAACCCCAGACGCCTGGTCCAACGTCGACTTTTCCTTTTTCGAATCCTCAATCCCTACCCCTTCCTTCAAACCCTCTTCTTCCTCCTCCCTCTTCCCTTCCTCCACCGCAACAACACCCAACCAAACAGACATCTACACCCTCTTCAACACCACCGCCACCATACCCCAACGTTCCACAAGCGCTGCCTCCTCTTCAGCAACAGCAAAAACATATACCCGCTTGTCCACGCCACCACGTAGTGTGACGCCCCCGCCTGTGCAGCCGCTTACGGGTGCGACGAATAGCGCGCAGAAGAGGAAGAGTGAGGAGGAGGGGGTTGTAAGGGGTGTTTTGGAGGGGTTGCCGGATTTGAGGTATATGCTTAGATGAGAGGAGGGAAATGGGGTGAGGCATTGTATCGTATTTTATCTGGGGGGTTGATAAGGTGTTTTTAGGCGATATATGACGGCTTATGGGTTGTGAGATGTTGATTCAGCATTGTTTTTTTTTGATCATTTTCGAAATATATATTCGGGGTTTGTTTAGATAGGATAAGGGACGGGGTGGGATGTTAGATTTATGTTGCTGTGGTGTGGTCGGGATCTGTGTGCTGGTGTTGACGATTAGATGTGAGCATATCTCTGTACGTTACAATAGGAAGAGTATTTTTGTTTAAACTTTTTTTGGCTCCTGAATATAGATATGTAGGGTCTTGTGCTGTCGTGTTTGTCGTGTTTGTCATGTTCTTGATGGCACATTTTAGATAGCGAGGTCTTGGTACCTACCACACTCACCCCACTTATCTACCCACCTATCTACCCACCTATCTACCCACCCAACAGCAGAACTACAGCAAGCAAACCATCACAGCAACAAAGGTATGATGTGAATATTAGGAGATGTTGTAGTCTGTACTTTGTAAGTCACCTCTATCTTAAGAAGGAGAGATAGTGTGCGGGAAGTGATGAGGTTGATAGTAGGTTTAGTGGAAGTGTTTGGAGTAGTAGTTTCGGGGGGAAAGAGGGAGAAGTCTTGGTTGGTTGGTTGGTGGGGTGGTATAGTATGGTGTGTAGTATAGAGGTGTTTGAGCGTAGGGTTAGGTCAAGTAGTAAGTGTAGCTGTAATTGGAGGGGGTTTGAAGAGCGGAAGTTCGGTTGTTACAGACAAGAATGTTTGTGTTTTTGATATCAGGTTTGCTGGACTTGTTTAATCTCAGTTCAGGGTTGAGTTGCATTTAACTTCATTTTTTTGTTTGTTTGTTCAAGGAGGTTTGGAGTTGCGCTGCGGGTGACTAAGGTACCATGGTACTCGAGTGCATAATCTAATGGGATTTATTTGTGTGTGTATAATCTTTTCAAAGTCTTCTGGTTTGGGGTGCTTTGGGTCGACTGTACCATGGTACTAGAGTTAGTATCCCATGTGAGATTTCCTCGCCTTTTACAGTGTCTCTCTCAAGTCGGGTCAGAGGATGCATCCAGAGAAGGTAAAGGTACAGAAAATTAATAAGAGATGGAGTCAAATCGTAGATCGATAGAGGTGTTGTCAACCCAAGATATCGATGGTTTTCCATTTTTGTATGCCAAGGATGGGTACCGTGGTACTAGAGAGGGCATGGAAATCGCCGGATCTCCAAAAGGGCGTCATCGTTCAGCGAGACTGTCGAAGAACTGCGCACAGTTACCTCAAAGCTCTTAGAGAAAACACCCATATTGAATGGGGAATGCGAGGAGCTGAGAGTTTTCTTAGAGTTACCTATTGGTTTCCTAGCTAGCGGTCTTCATATCCATCAGGACGGGACTTTGCAAGACAGAGAAACTATTCTGCTCTGCCAGGAAACTTCAACTATTCTCAGAAAGATGGACATAACTTGGAAACGTGAAACAGACAAAAATCCGAACCAGGTGTTTTACCTTCGTTTCTTGACTACTTTGGGTTGGATGAGACAGGATCCCCTCACGAGGATGTTTGGTGCACAGTTCAAGGGATCATACAAGGAGTACGATGAAGCTCCCCGAGATGCAAAAGATTCACTGGATAAGTCCGATGATCTTAGTGTAGTTGGTAAGTGTTATATATCTACACAACCTCAAATTCCCCATCTAATAAACTATTTAGATACCGAATCCGAAACTACTGGACATGACACACCACCCACAACGCGTGCGACTTCACCAGCCCCCACCGAACGCACGGCCGAAAGCAACAGCAAATCCAAGGATCATCAGCGCAAACAGGAGCCGCCCAAGCTACCTACGCTCAAGTACGTCGCAATCATCGAGACGGAGACGGACAAAGCGATCTGCGAGCTAAAGCCCGAATGCGTTGACGAAGAAGTGTGCAAGCTCGTTAATAGCGCCAAAGAGATGTGCGACAAGATGGTCAAGAAGGGCTATGAGGGCAAGGTCAAGCTGCAGGACATAATGGACATTGGTCTCGACATGGCGATGGCGAAGGCGAAGAAGTGAGCCAGCAGCACATTGAGCTTCAAGATTTCCACACGATGACTGGTATATACACTAGTGCTCTTCAATGATTGTAGCAAGAAGGCTTATTGCCGAGTAAGTAGCAGAAAGTTGTCCTGTCTCTAGCACTTGACTAGCAGACTAGTAGTCATCTTCGAATACAACCTGAATACCCACTCCACGCCATATCCCACCGTGCAAGTTTCACTTTTGTGCCTTCATATTCTCCAGATTACGATTCAAAGCAACCAGCATCTCACCCCCTCCCTATACATCTTCATCGTAACAGTCTCCTCATAAATGTAGGTTGACGGTGACTTTTCCAAAACTCAAAATGTAAGACAAGATCAGAGCTCGCTCGTGTGAAAGGCCGTAGAACCAACTCACGTTTAGTGCTTTGCTAAAGGCCGACCCGGAACCCTCGTTCCAAATCCCTTATCAAACAGCCCAATAATCTTCTCCTTCATCTCCTTGGTCGCCATTCCCTCGCTCGGCAACTTGACCTGCTTGTCTCTTCGCAGTCTTATCGGAATAGGAATGTTCTTGCCATTCTTCAGGTCGGCGGTTCCGTATAAGACAAAGTCCAGGTAGTACTGCTCCACATGTAGCTTCCGCCTAATACTCTCAGCAAGGATTATGTTAAGCGCAAGCGGCATACGCGCGCCATGCAGATTCCAGCCTTCCAGCGCCAACAACCCCTCTTCGTGTAACGGAACATTCGTACTGATCTCCTCGCCAAGCATGGGATTCGCATTAAAGTCCAACTCCTCCGCAGCATACGTCCTCAGAATCATATCGCTCGTGTTTTCGTAATTTAGCTTGAGCTTGCCACTCAGCACCTTCCAAAGCGTGCTCAGGCCCTTCTGGCTCAGCAACATCGGACCCAACGCACACGTGCCGTTACCCCGAATGGGATCCGACAAGCGCATATCGAGCTTAACGAGGAAGAGCTGGAAGTTGATGAGATCCTTGTCGGTCCAGATTTCCTTATCCGCCACAAACGCAACACGCAACCTACTCTGAGCCATACCCATGATACACCAGTACTTCATGAGCGCGGCTTCGCAAGCAGCAGGCACGCGGTGCCCTTCCATGCTCAACATGGTGAGGATGCTACGCACAATCTTCTGCCGGTAGAGTACCAGGCCCACCCATCGGAAACTAGGCACGTCGCGCGCGAGCCACTCGCGGCCGTCCATGGGTCGCAACATCGGGTCTGAATGCACACGTCGGGGAAGAGCACCCAGCTGAAGATGTGGCCGGCGAGCGGGGCGTGACGACGCACATATTCATGGATGAGGTAGGTGCTGTAGTGGTTGAGGCGGAAGTGGAATTCCTTGTCGATGGCGTAGAGGGCGACGAGTTCTTTGTAGGGCATGCGGAGGACGAGTTGGAAGAAGAGATCTTTGTGGCGAAGGCAGGCTTTGTAGACGTTGAAGCGGGGGCGGGCAGATGAAGAACTGGGTGTTGTGGGTGTTGTGGGTGTTGTGTCAGGGTAGGTTTCTGGGCCCCAGAACTCGGTTGCGATGTTGGTGCTGCGGTTGTGGTGGCGGCTGAGGATGTTTAGTCCGGCTTCTTTGGCGGCGTCTGAGGTTGCCATGGGGAGGGGTAGTTCGTCTTCTGCAAGACGCTTGTTTTTGCCTTTGCCGCTGTGCGGGTCGTTGGGTGTTGGGGTGGCCATGGCTATAGTGAAGGTGTTCGTGTTCGTGCTAGAACGAAGTGAGACAAGCTTACGTTGAAGACGAAGCTGTTTGTGGGAGATCGAGAACCAAGAAATTGGTTTAGGTAAGTGTAATGGGAGTGTAGCGCGAGGCGGGAAACTATATCAAAGCATCGTAGCTATTGTACAAACAGAAAGCTTGGCGTCTGTGCGACCATTGGCCAGGACTGAGTCGCTAGGCAACAATCAGAGCAGAGCCACAGGAATTATTGTGGTTATGGACACAATAGCAAGGGACTGAATAGTAGACTATGTGCGCATCAAGTATATACGCAAGCAAAGCTGAGGTTCTTGTGTCACCGCAATATCGCTCGTACTGGTGCCTGCATATGGACCAATTAAAAAATAATCACTACCTCGTCTGATACATTACACGCTATTGAGCATCTGTATGTAAGAACACCAACTCCCAATCGCATTTACAAAACCAGGCAGTGTTTAGAACGCACCTTAGTCATCAAACCCAAACAACAAAACCCTCCCACCAGCACAGCAATCTTCCAAAAAAAATCACAATTAAGTTACTCGCAAGGATAAACGCAACCAAATTTCAGGGTCCTGCTACTACTCTTCCCCGCTACCTGGTCCACCAGGACCTCCCGACCCGAACCGATGACGTACCATATCCACATCCCGCGTTTACCACCCTCGCACTTTCCAGCCTTACATGAGATAAAGTTTCGGCACGGGAGTACTCGCATATTGCGACATGACATCGGTACCCCCTGTTGCGTACCGTTGCCTATCCGCCGTTTCCCGGATACAAGGGTCGCAGGGTCGTGGATGTAAGCGCTGTGGATGCACAGACATAGATGACTAAGCATGTATCGCTGGGGCTGTATGGGGTTGGGATAGATGGGGTATATTTCGCTTTCTCGGGAATGTAGCGAAGTTGCGAGATTGGATAGGCGGGGGGAGGGGGCTGGTGTGCGAAAGAAAAAAATGATGGCTTTAGGGAATGAAGGGGAGATGACTTTTCGCAAGGGATGTTTTCCTTGGTGGAGGTTGTAGGTTTTAGCAAGCAGAGAGAATCCCTGGAAGACGTGGTTGAGATGTAAGGTGTAGGTATATATTGGTGAAGGCTGGAGGTGAAGGCTGGAGAGGGGAGGAAAAGGGAAGCAAAGGGAATTCACTCGGCTGAGATGTTACCATGGCACGTGGCTGATGTACTACCTTGCCTGATACATGAACAGGGGATAGATATGATAATATTGGCGGCTAGATACAACCTAGCTCTAAGAAATCATCGATCCCCCTAGCAACCCGGCTCGTGTGTCAGTACCCTTAAGCCCGACTATCTCCCTCATCGCCATCTTCACTCTCGAAATGAGAACTTTTATCCACCTCTGAGACCGCGTGCAGGTCTGCACACAACCCATCATACCCTTCCCACCCCAAAATTTCCTCCCACACACCCCACCCCCTAATCCAAACACTCCGGCAACTCCTCAAACTCCTCATCCAACGCCCCAACAACCTCCGCCATATTCCTAAAATTCTTAAACACCTCATCCGCCATGGTTGGAAAATCAGCAGTAACCTGCTCACCATAGCCGTTAAGAAGAGCCAAGATACGCTTCGTCGTCGCAAGCATGACCTTGCGGTACTCCATGGGGTCTGTGATGCGTCCGTTTTTGGAGAACTTGAGACGCTGCATTTGGAGCTGTGAGATGCTGCGCTTGGTGATGGCGTCTAGCTCGTTCATCGTGTCTGTTTTGATGGGCACTCGCTCGATGGCGGAGCTGATGATGGACATGAAGTTTGTGCCTGTTTCGAGAAGCCAGGATGTGTAGTCTGCGAGCTTGGCGGAGGCGGTTTTGAAGGATGTGGATGGTTTGGGGGTGGAAGGTTCTGTGGGGGCTTTTGCTGGGGCTTTGGGCACGGCGGCTTTGGTGGAGGCGGACATTGATGAGGTACTGGTGGTGAGGAGATGGCGCCTTGCCAGGGTGGAAGGAACTAGAAGTAGTGTGTGAGCGTTTGAGTTTGTCGGAAGTATTTGAAGCACTTGGTTGCTGCAGCTTGGAGGTTTTGACGTCGAGGTGAAGGGTCGTTGCTCAGGATTAATATTTTGAGGGTCCACTCACCTGAAGTGATACAAACGGCAGCTAACCGTTTTGTCGCTCGGAATGGACGGCGCTAGTGGAACGGGAAAGCGATGACCAAGATCCAGAAAGATCTGAACACTGCAGCAACGCAAAACGCACTTGGTGCTGCACCTAATTAGTTGGCTGTACGAGTCGCATGAAGGCCACTGCAACTGTGCGCCGACATCCAGGAAATACAACAGTCGCTCGATATATGATATCTGTGGCTGTCGCGCTGTCCCACATAAATCACGTGCAAGTGACCGAAAGGAATACCGCACCATATGACGACATGCTCAAACCCACATAGGTCAGAACACGAATAAATCATAATGAATCAGTGATTGAACACAGCTACACTAAATCCCTTCAAATTCCCTCCACCCTTCGAAATGCCCATCCATATCTCATACCTCACTTCCTCCCCTCCCTTTCCTCAACCCAATCACCCCATCTCACATCGCCTAAACATCACGCCAAGACCCCTTTACCGCTGTTACCTCATCATCCCCATCCGCACTTTCTTCAGCATAGGCCTGGTACCGTGGTTTCTTATCTGGCTTTTCTGTGCTAGATGGTCGCTTTTTCTGGGTGGGAACCGCGGAGGTGGGTGGGTGAGTTGGCGTTGGGGTGGACTGGGTGTGAGGATGAGGAGAAAACTTGTAAGGGAATTGATAAAGGGGAGGAGAGATAGGGGGTGTGATATGATGGATTGTAGGGTTGTGGGTTCGGGTTGGGTGGTTGGGTGGGTTGTATAGGTTTGTATGGGTGGTGGCTGTGGCGAGAGGCGTTCGTGGGTAAGTGTAGTTGGGTTTGGGGATTGGAATGGGTTCTTCGTATTTCTTATAGTGGTCATAACTGTTGTTGAGGTCACCACGGTTGACAAACCCTCCGTTGCTATCACCCTTGCCACCAGAGGCAGTCATTTTCTCCCTCGTTGCAGTAGAGCTCTCTTGCTCATGTTTCTGCTCGTTCCGCGTAGCTTCTTCAAAGCTCTCGAAGAAACAAGATGCTATGTTCTCAACACTCGGTCGTCCTTCCTTCTTCCCTCCTCGATGACGGCGCTGTAGCTCCATTTCCTTGAGTTGAAGAATTTGTTTCGTAGCTTCATTCACTGATGCACCATTATCTCGCATGTCTCTGTAGACTCTCAGTAGCATCGAGTCGAGGCCTTGAGTTCGCTGTCGGATGCAGCGGTTGCGGATGTGGTTGAGCGTAGTGTGGGTGAGGAGGTTGACTTGGTAAAGCTGTTCGAGGGTATTGTGGGATTGCGTGTGCGTCTGCTGCTTGTGATCGTCTCGATATGAATCATGGCCAGTTGACTCTTCGTCGCCGGTTTCTTCAACACGAGCGTCGGGATGCGGAATCCAGACGACGGCTATGCCGTTATGCGTACACCCTTGTAGTTTGAGGATGCCGTGCTCGAGGAAGTGGAGAATGGTATTTGGTAGCGTGCTTGCGAATGAGAGCCAGTCGTTTTCGCATTCGAAGATGGCGCCGTACATGTTTATGAGGTTGGTAGTGTCAGTTTCAGAGGTAGCATGGTTTGTGTTATCGTTCTTTGAGTGTTTGCATGTTTTAGGCTGATGCGATATCGAGGAGGGTGGATATTTTGGCTGAAGTGAGTTTTGGGCTAGAACGTCCTTGAGTGGAGTGCTGGTATGGTGATATTCTTCATCACGGGGATATAGAGGTGGAGGGAGTGGTTGCTTGAACATCTTGACAGGCACCACTATGTCCGAGCTATGGCGTCTTTCTGAGCTCCTTCTCCTGCCTTGTTCTTCCTTGGATTCCACGGAGAGAAGGCTGTAGCCTCCGTCTGGCCGGCTGCGAAGCGTTACAAGACCACGGTCAAGCTCGTCCAGCTCCTGTTCCGTAAGTTTGGCCTCGACCTGCTCCCAATCAGAAAAGTTCCTAAAGTAAGCTCCGTATATGTAGAAGCAGATGGTTTTGCCATGGCGCTTCCACACGAAAGCCTGGTGTCCGTTCTTCTCCCAGCGGAGAACAGTGATTGCATCTTCTTCGGCAGTACGCTTCATAGCCTGTTGTTTGTTCTGCTCAGAGATTGATTCCATATACATCGATACCAGCTCTTTCCCTCCTTCAAACTCAATGTGTGTCCAATCCCACGAGAAACCAACAAGGATGTCGTTGTGATCGAAGATGGGATAGCCGTGTCCAGCAGTCCAGGCGCGGCGCTCCACTGGTCTCAGAGCTTCGGAATCCGCAAGCCTTCGCGAAATGAGTAGTTGTACGTTCAGCGTGTTCAAGGTCTCAGCTGGCGTCATGTCCTTTGAGGCGTAGGATAGGAACCTATGGAGAGCGAAGAGTTCTTTGGGTCGCATGAGGGAGAGAGAATCCATGTCAAATGGGAGCGAGAAGAAGAAGTCATGTCCACTTGGAAAACACAGACTGTATGTGTTTGGGCGAGATAAGAACTTGCGACAGTGGTTGTCGCTGACCTTGACGAAGAAGGGCATGCTGAAGTTGGGGAGTCTTTTAGAATGATACAGTAAGATGATTGAAAGTTTAGAAGTTAAAGAAAGGAGGTACAGAAATGGTTGAGAATGAGCCCTATGTACTCTACGTGTCGATTGTAGGACGGCGCATCGATTCCATCTTGCTCTTCAATACTGTCAACATTGAAGCGTACAGCCGCTCGCTCTGACATGTCAATCATACTATCGCAGATCGGCGATAAATCCTAGGATATATGCTATGCCTGGCAATTCTGAAATCTACCCATCGGGCTGCTGGCCTTCGCGTCGTGGCAGCGACGAACAACGAGAATGGTTGTTCCGCGTCTGAACGGGAGATCAAGCACTGCAACAGGTTCTCGTTACCTTGGTGCCAATAAATTGTGTCACCATGTGAAGCAAAAGCCAGTGAATTGTGCACAACAGACTATGCACGTGAGTGACAATATTACCCAGGTGAATACACAGACATTGTGAGGTAAGCACCTAATAGGCGTGCCTGGCGACTACAGGAGCCTCTGTATACCAGTATGCCAAGTATCATGACGCCCGGTGAATACACAGACGTGGCGGGGTAACGTGTCCGAGAAGCACGTGTCTGCCGAGGAATGCAGGTCTCGCGAGCGCGTCATTGGTCCATGCGCAGCCCCGCAGCGTTAGAGTAGTTCTCAACACCTGCATCAATCTTTCAGCGTCGCGTCCTTGAGTGTTTGTGCGACACCCGACCTCTACAAAACAAACTGTAAGTCAAGCTGACGGACACAAACACCTCTCAATCATCGCGCGCAACCCCTGATTGCTTCTAGAACCACACGACCTGGGCAGAATCAACACACAGGCATCTGCCTAAACTTTCAGCCACTATTGCGCTATCATGGCTTCCGCCCTACTAGGCAGCGCGACTTCAACACTTCCTACCGAGTTAACTCTCCTAGTGCTTGATCACCTTGAAGGCAACAATCAGGCGCTATGTTCGCTCGCGCGAACATGTCGCAGCATGCAGCGTCTGGCTGAAGAGCGAGTCTACAAGACTATTGAGTTGACTTCTGTAGTCGACCTACGAGACGTCAGCGCTGCCTTTCTGTCTCGCTATCAGCGCCTCCAGGCCGTACAAACGCTCAAGCTACTTTACCAGTACGAGGAGACCACGTTGAAGAACAGTGACAGGGCTAGGGCAGAATTCAATAAGAACGTACCGCACATGATCAACCTAAGAGAATGGCATATCGAGAGCCCTTGGGATAATTTCCACTGGTCGGAATCTGGCGGGGATGACTGGGTTGGTACCGATATGGAGCAATTCCGCGCAGCACTTGATTTGGCCTGCGAAAACGGCCTCAAGGAAACTGAGGCCATTGCAGCAGAGCGCCAATTGGGAAAACATATGGAGCGCAAAACCGGGTTGGCTCTACTGGAGACACTGACCATACATTCGCATGGCAGAGACACTGATTTCTGGGACCTGGATGGGTATCACTGCCTCTTTCGACACCCTTCGCTTAGGCACCTTCATGTTTCCTGCATCGCATTTCCGGACACCGAGATCCCAGAACTCGCGTCATATGTGAATAAAACCCCATTGACGTCTCTAGTCTTTGATGAGTGTGTGCTAGATCCTCAAAGCTTGCTCAGCATTTTGCAAACACCAGCGCAACTCAAGTCGCTAACGCTCGGAGAAAACGTCTACAATACCAATCGCTCCAAGGATAATCCTATGCTGAGTAAATATCCGGTTGAGTCGCTACGAGCTCTCTCCGCTGTTGCGCATTCTCTCGAAACCCTTGTTCATCTCGATCCTGGTTCGCGAATCGACTCAAGCTCGCACGTTATGTCTTCCATACGAACACCAGGCGACGGAATGCGCGATTTTCACTCGCTGAAGTATATGGAGTGCGACACACAGTCGTTTCTGCACAAGGCTATCATCATGAACCGCGACCTTGCGCCACCCAAACTGGAAACTCTCCGAGTGCGTCGCCATTGGGATTCTCCTGCGAACCTGTGGGATGAGCCACCTAACTTAGATCATTATGCGGCGCTCCCGTCCATTTCCACTCTTGAGTTGATGCAATCGTCATTTATACTGTGAGTCCAGCATCTCGGTCTTTTATCCCCCTTACTGGAAGCATATACTGACTTAAAGTACAGGCTTCGGCTGTCTACCGAGGACTACATATGCGAGGCGGAGCGTCTCCGTAACCGCCACGCTAAAGCATACAAACTATCCAAGGCTGGCATCAACCTCAAGATGTTGATCGAACTGCACAAGACTCGTAGTCTCATTCCACCGTACCTCCACAACGAGCAGGTACCTTTGGTTCAATGCTTGTATAATGCTAGCGCTGTAGGCTTCCATCGACACATTGAAGACCTAAAAGTCCACGAGGCAAAGCTGGAAGCACCCGAGACGGATCAATTGAGCGACGCGGATGTTATCAGGATACGTGAATCGACCCGAAAAACTCTGTTCGGCCTGAAGCAAAAGCTACTACGTCAAAACCGCCCCCTCGCATTCCAAACAGCACTGTTCGACGATGCTGACGGCTCGGAGCCCTTTACGGACGAAGAAGGGTTCCTCATCAACGACATCGACGAGGACGACGATATGGACCTGGACGATCTAGACGATGACAGCGACTTTCTTGATGACGACGACTTTTTTGATGGAGGCGATGGTGGTATGCACATGTTCATGTCGTCGAATGGCAACATCTACGTTGGCGTGCACGCGGACGGGTCGGAGAATGAATCGATGGGTTCGGAGGAGGAAAACGATGACATGGTCGACGCGTTGGAGCATCAACAGCCTCCTAATGATGAGGTGGATTGAGTGACTGCAAGCTTCTAGGGGTAGATGGCAACACCTGGGTGACGTGAGATTGTTGATATTTTGGTATACAAAAGCTGCTGTATGCGCTAGATATGACTGTTAGGAATATCGTTGTTACAACAAAACTGCGTTGTGAAAATCTGCTGCCAAGCATCGACATCACTTACATATAGGATCATGACTCTTAGGAATGGGATAACCGGGGTCAGCGTTATTATAATCTCTGCGCTAGGTGATGGGGCTCAACGTCGATGATGAATGACCATAATAGTGTGTTCGTTATCCAGTGCCCTTATAGCGCTTAGATAGATAATCTCCCTAACTATATTAGTAGCTGCAAGATGTTACGACTGTGCATGCTAGAAGCTATCTAAGCTAAACATTATCTTTGCCAACAATTAGTTATTTAGCAGGTCTTGCAGTGTGTAAACGAGGATGGAGCCGAGCTGCCCACGTTCGATTTTACGGTTTTGCGGCGAGAAGTCATCAGAAACTGGGTGAATGTAGATGTACGCTTGATAAGTAGCGCCGTATCTGCCGGCAGTCTGACGCAGGTGTGCTTGGTCGATAAAGTTGACGAGAAACAGACGACCAGTATCTTGAAGAGAAGGTGATGTTTGACTAGCGACGGCTTTCGCGTTAGAAATAGCAGAGGGAAGTTGTGCATCCTTAGGAGCACGCGAGGTTTGGTTTAGATTCTCGGAGAGCTAGGTTATAGAGAAAAGGAGGTCGTCTGTGTAGTTTGCCAAGATTGCCTAAATAGAGACTTCTAGGCGCCGAATGCTTTTATTGACCTTTTGATAGTGTTGCGTAGTCGTCTAATGGCATTCAGCCCGCCCGCCCGCCGGGCGTACGTTCGTTGCAAGAGCTGGAGATTGAGTGGACTTGGATCATGCACCCTTACCATAGACGCCGTGGCCATTTTCTACATTCATTACTAACATTAGCATGTAACGTCTATCCCTGCGTAGCGAGACATCCCCCTGTGTGCCAGGACACTTTTTCTTCCGGACCTTCGGCGTCGGGCCAGTATAACTGCGATAAGTCAAACTTAACGCACATCCATTCTGCAGCTGCAGTTCTCCCGGCATGTCAGCCTCCAACGAAGGAGAGTGTGGTGTTGGGCGAGTTGTAGGGTGATCTATTACTACTGTGTAAACTTCCCTTGGTAGGGTCTCTAAAATCTAGGTTGGTTCTCGGATTAGTAGTGTGTGTTAACACGATTGGTGGATTGATGTCATAACACGATGGTTGAGAATTCAAGGCTAGCATTAGTATACCAATCGAATTTGAACACAATGAGCCCTAGGCGCTTATTGTATAGTCTATTGCTATAGACTTGAGGGAGTGCGGCGAGCACATTGTTGAGCGCTTCTTGATCAACTGTGCCGCATTGCTCGCCATGAGTAGGCGCGTAACTTGGCCCTACAACGGGTTGTAGCTGTGCCGCGCGATTCTCCAAGATGTCTGCCGTTCTCCCCGGCCTCACCCGTAGCGACATCGTAACAAGCTACTCTCCCATCAGGTACCTCAAGCACAGTAGCATTGACAACTGCGGTCGGGAGCTGCCCACGCTGACTGAAACGTCCCCCTAGGGCACTTCTCTAATATTAGCCAGGCTTATAGTAAATATTCAGAATAACCATTCCACTTACTGATACAAAACAAACTTGAGGATCTTTACACGCATTCATATCTTCTTCACCGCAGTTTCCTTGAGGCGGCTATAGCATACGTTAGAAATGTCGAAGGAAGATAAAAATTATTAATGCTATTATAGAAATACGTACAGTCCAGTTCGGATCAGCTGCTTTGCAATGTGTAAAGGATATACGAGCAGCTGCTAGGCTCGTAAGAGCAGATATAAAGAGTACACTTAAAAAGCGCATGGTGTCTTTTTAATCCTGAAATAGGTATAGATAGAGTAGGCCTTGTAGAGAGAATAATAGGTAAACGTAGGTATAGATGATATAGCAAAGACGTGTGTTAAAGGATTGATCGCCTCCTATATATAGAGATCTTCAAAGCATAGCATTATGCAAAAGGTAAGAAGTACGGTAAGTCACGCGAAACCTTCCGGTTTTGTACGTCTTACATCTCATAGGGGTTACGCCAACCTAGCCAAGTGACAGAAAATGACGCCAAGTGGCTCACACGTATCTGCACGAGCACGGTGTAAGCTGGATGAGGTTATGTGCTCGTGTTGGTGTTGGCGATGCTAGCCTTTTCCGTACGCGGGCATCTTGACGGCAGATGACCTTTGCCCCTTCACACGGAGCTTAATAATACTTGCGTTATTACATGTAGTTTACATCCTGGGTACTTAGTGCTACACAGGACGTACATACACAGGCAGCCGCGCGAGCAGGTATGTACACGACAAGATGATACTACAGGAGAAGTTGATCGCTACACTTTCCCTTTTGGTCCTGCCGCGTATCCTGGCTGTTCTTAGGTGAGAGTTGGCCAGGCAGAGAGTAAGCGCGAATTGTCCTATGTGGAGGCGAGTTGAATGGGCGTCAGCACTTGGTCGTGAAGGAAAGGAGAACGAAGATATAGATCCAGCATGGCCCTGTATCCTTGTTCTGGACTGCAAGGTTTCTCCACGCTCTTTCTAACCCTAAACCTGCGCGCTCAACATCGATTCTAGACTTACTTATTCTACAAGCTTAATTGAAACAACCCTAGTATGCTTCTTCTCTACTTCCTTCATGTACCATACGTCTTGATTATTACATCGAAGCTAACATTACCAAAGCAATGCTCGTCCCCTCGGTCCAAACCATCTTCCTAGGCTTATCAGCCCTATCCTCCCTCACTGCCCACGGCGGAGTGATCAAAGCCAATTCTTTCAAGGATTATCGCCTCAAACCAATCGAAATCCCTGGCGAAGTTGGAAAACGCGATGCTCCTTTCAACCCCGACCACCCTTTTGACGATTTGCGCATCCCCATCGATAAACGCGATGGTGCATTTACGCCCGGCAAAAACCCTCCCTTCGAGCTAGGCGTCAAACCAGTTCCCGTCTCGGTCGACCTTAGAATGCGCGACATCATCCAAAAGCGCAAAGACGAATCAGGAGTGCGCTTAGCCGACGACGGCAGCACGTTCCTAGGACGCCGAGATTCATGTCATGCCAGCTCCGACGCTATCCCAGCCGGCGCTACTCTCAAGTCAGTCTGGACCATCAGCGAACTCGCCAACAACGATGGCCTCAAGTACACGCCCATCCCCGGCCCCGATGGAGTTCCCAGCCTCAGCGCAAAGGTGGAAATCTTTGACGATCAAGCCGTGCGATACCTCACGTTCTTTGGTGCGGACGATATGCCTGCCAACGTTGCTTATTACCTCAAGCCGGGTGCTGGTTTGAAGCCTCGTTCCATTGTTGTACATAAAGGGTCGAAGTGCCCGGTGGTTCTCCAGCCTACGGACCGTGCGTTGCGTATTCAGTATGAGGTTTATGAGATCCCGGTCTTGACGAACACAGAAACGTAAGGGAGCTTGTTACTTTTGTTCGAGATACAGCACCGCGGCGGTTTATCGTGGTGGTGGGGTTTTCCTGGGAGCAGCTTTTGTGGCGGCGGTTGTCGATGCTGGTTTATGTATGTTAAGATAGGCTGGTTGGGATATCTCCGAACGCAGCAGTTTAATCTATTCCATCTCATGCTCCATCTTTGCCATCTATGAAGTTGAATCGTGTGCTATACGCAGCTCGTGTGTGATAGACGTTAGGCTAGGTGCCCCTGACCTCATCGAAGCGACCAGTAACTTCCATCGAAAACGAACAGCCTTCTCTTTTGGAGCAAACTCCCTAAATACGACTTTCTCGATCTTCCTACTCTTGATCTAAGCATTTGTGATGAAACTTTGTCACCACCGCATTTGTTGAAGATTGCTTTGTCATGTGCGCATTTCAAAGCAGCGTGTAAGCCAGCCAGCCAGCCAGCCAGCCAGCAAGCAAGCAAGCAAGCACATCAAATTGTTTTAGCGTTGCAACAACGGCCTTAGTGGGCAACTACACCTTACTCCACAAAAAAAAAGGTAAGCGTCGCGTCGCTTGACTCCGGCCCGCCATCATCGCTCATGTCCAGGGTCACAGACCAGCCGCGGCCGTTTGGTTAGGCTGTGAATCTCAGGCGGTCAAACGCAGGCAGCCGTTTTCCTGGTTTTGTATAAATCCCGAGCCTGCTTTCTCTCCTGGTGTTTATTTTGCCGTTCTCACTCCTAACTTGACTCTTACTTTATCAGACAACGAATACCCGGTTTTCGAAGAGAGAGTGTATGTGCATGAAAGAGGAAGAACGAGAGCACGCGCCCACGACCGACCCCACAAGTCCCGAAAACGAACCCCAACCCAAAAGCGCAAAACGACATCTTTTCGGCCCCACATCACGCATCCATCAGCCGATACCCCCCAAAAACTTACATAGTACAAACTGCACAAACATCCGACTATATACTTTCACTACATCTCCCGTTCCCTACTTCCACCAAAAGAAACAGCCCAACTACCCCATCTCGCAAAAAAACTTAAATCTCGTTTTAGTCGCCAAAATGACTTTCTCAACACAAGCCCTCTCGCAACTCCGCCGCTACTACTCCTCATCCTCATTGCCGCGCGACCCGCATTACAGACTCAAAGCCACACTTGCAACGGGTTATGTTGTTTCGGCGCTGGCATTGCCGTTTGTGCCGCCGCTTTTGGAGACGAGGAGGGCGAGGGCTGATGGGCGGTATTTGACGAGGTGAGTTCATGTTTGTTATTTGATGTTGGTGTTTTGGTGGTTCCTGCCAAGAAATGGTGTTTGCGGCCGGATTACTGGATTGGGAATGTGAGGCTAATGGTTGTGCGTAGGGAGAATGAGTATTGCTCGTCGCAGTATTTGGGGTGTGCGCATTAGACGTGGGGTTGTGGGATGATGTTGGGGGTTGAGAGGGTTTGAGATGGATGTGGTTTGGATGTGCATGGGGGATGTTGGGGTTGAGATTGGGGTTTGGACTTGGTTTTGATAAGGCGTCGGTTGGCATTTACATACCCGGCGTTGGTTTTCTTTTCTTTGTACATATCAGATGAGTGCTGGTGTCCGACAAGGTTCGGCATCATCTACACACAGTCAAGCATCTTATTCTATATGGTTTTTCTTTCGCTGTTATAACCATGCTGAGTGGTGCAAGTCGCTATTTCGCCCACGACTGGAAGCAAGTGATCTTACCAAGATAGAGGAAATTCCTCGATACCATTGCTTTGTCACCTCAGCTTGGGATGTTGTATACATTGCAAGACATACCTCACAGCTTATACCGCATCCACCTAGTTTTCTCCTACACCCTCAACACCTCAGCTTGTCATGCACCCGAACGCTCTCTATCTCATCCATTTCTTCCTGTTTTTTAGAAACAATTCTATCTTATACCTCCCGCCGCAGCGCGTATCAAGTCTCCTCAAACCCGAATCACCACCATGTAAGTAGCAATCGCTAAACCAACGCTTACGTCCCCCCTTCCCCCTCAGGCCAAAAGTCACAAAATGTGTTTGATCGGTCTGGCTCACATACTTGAATGATGTGTAAGAGATTCCCAGTAGATCTAAAAACAACAATGAACGAGGGTATAGTGGAAAGGAGCGTAACATCGTACAACCACATCAACGCCAGCACATCCTGCCCCCGTCCCAACATCAGTCCCCCCCAAGTCCAACCAACCTCAACACTTCAACCTATCAGCCAACCCCTCACAGCCCACCCACCACGCCCGCAACCGCCGCCGCAACCACAACCACAGCCCCCAACCTAACCTCAACCCTCCCGCCCCTCCCCGTCCCCTGCACACCACCACCCGTCGTACTCGCCGCCAAAACCTGCAACCCATACCCCGTGGCAACCGCCTCCGTCCCATTCACCGTCACCGTACTAACCGACGTAGCCGTGGTACTCGCCGTACACCCCGCCCAGCTCGTCCACGGCGGCGACGTAGCCCAAGGCCCCGCCGTCCAGCCCGGCCAGTCTGAAGCCGGACACGCGGTGCCGTCCCACCAGGAGGTCCAGGGGCCTTGGCGCCAGTCTGAGCGGGTGGACCATTGGGAGTAAGGGCCGAAGTTTGAGGGGCCGAAGGGTGGATGTGCTGGGTCTGTGGGTGGTTGTTAGTGTCATTTTGGGTTTGGAGGTTGTAGGTTGTAGATTGTAGGGAGAGAGGTGATATCATGGGTGGACATGAAAGACGTGAACTTACCACCCCAACCACCCGGCCCACCACCAGCACCAGGTTTCCCACCTCTACCTGGTCCTCCAGGATAAGGTCCCTGACCTGGCCCGTAAGAACCCGTTGGCCACGGCGCTGCCGTCAATGTCGACGGTATCTTGCCGGCAGAACGAAGAGACTCGTAGAGTGAAGACCAGCGGCCTGCGTCTGTGGGGACAATGTCAGAGGGGACAATGTCAGAAGGGACAATGTCAGAAGGGACAATGTCAGAAGGGACAATGTCAGAGGGTAGCCATGTTGGGGGTCCAGTTGGGAAGGGTCCGGTGGGTGTGGGGGGTAAGAGTGTAGAGTCCCAGGTACGCGGTGATGGTGGTGCGTTTTGTGCGAGGAGGGTGAGGGGGGTGAGGATGATGAGGAGGGGGAGGAGCATGGTTGGTGGTGGTAGTGTAGGTCTGGATGGGAAGGTTGTCTGTTGTGTGTGTTTTTTTTGAGAGGATGATGGTGGTGGTGGTGGGTTTGTGGGCAGATTTGTGGTGGGTAGGTAGGTACACCCAACGCAGTACAACTATCCACTCAGACTCTCTCCCAAATAAAAGCCGTAGTCTCGTCTGCCCTTCACTTTCTTAATCTTATCCGTGTCAACGTCGTCCTCAAGAATCAGGCAACAACACAGTCTTTTCTGACCACACAAAAAATATGCAATAGAGGTATCCCACTCCCCAAACCAAACCGCCTAAGCCTACATATACACACCCACAAGCACACCAAACACGCGGCCCCAACCCACCCCATTAGCCCACAACAAACGCCTCCCACCTACGCCTCGCATGTGTAAACACGCACGCACACGTAAGTTCACGGCACCCCGCCTACCTACCCTTTCCATGCCGGTCTGGTCAACCTCACTCAGCTACCGTACATACACCAAACCCAACCCAACCAAGAACAGAACCTGGAAGCACACGCGCTGACAAGGGTGCTTACGCGTCCCCGTCTAGCCAGCCTAGCGTACATGATTGTCTCGGTAAAAGCCTGGTATGGGCTTGGATGAGACTAGGCGGAAAGGCGTAAGACTGATTGCGCGGTTTCGGTACCTTATCATCGGTAGGCGTGGGCGCTGGGCGTGTTGTAGGATCATGTATCGTACGTGCATGGATACTTGCTTACATGATATGATGCAGGGTAATAGTAATGGTAAGAATAAGAACAAGCAATGCAATGAAATGAATGAAAAAGAGCAGGGGCGGGGGCGGGCGAATAATTGTTCAGCCTTTACTGGCAGGCATACGGTAAATGCAAACGCAGGAAAGCTTGTTTCAGCATATGCATATCATGGAGCTTGATTGCATCATGCTGTTGTACAAGAAGCACGCACATACCCTACATACTTACGTAGACCTCGTCAGTCGTCTTCAGTCCTGCAGCATATGACAGAAACCTGATGTCACGCCTGGTGATGCGCCTGGCTGGCCTGATCGCCTCTTTGTCTGCCTAAATCTAGCGGCTTGTAGACCAGACAGGAGTGGTAAGTTAGCAGTGGCTTCGGAGAATGGCAAGTGGGGGAAGCAGGAGCAAAAAGCCGCGAATACGAACGGGAGGAAAGGAAAGGGACGAGAAAAACCGTGGATGGCGTGTTGCGTATGTATATTGTACTACCGGCTACTCTGTTTACGGTACACGCGCGTGTGCATGTGCGCGTTCGTACCGTGCGTATGCCGGTTAATCGTCTGCTGTGGTATTGCTGTTGCTGTTGCTGTGCTGTGCTGTGCTATTGCGGTGTTGCGCTCACATGCCGGAGTTCGATGAATTATTTCCCCGCGCGCGCCGCAGAAGAAACGAACGTACGATAAGCTTTGTTCTAGACTGCGGGATGCAACTTACAAGGCGTCGGCGTACGTACTGTACATAGTTTGCCTGCGTACGCATACATACGGAAAGCCCGACTGCCGATCTACGTTAACTAACCTCCCTGGTGAAGAAGTCGGTTCGGTGGGATGAGGCGCTTTGCTGACAACATCACAGGATGCCTTGCACTTGCGCCCGCCTACACAGCCAGCTGAGTAATCTCCCAATCCCATGCATTCCACAATCAAACCACTCATTCAGCTACATATGTCTCTCAATCACGGGTAAGCAGTGTCAGACAGACGCAACGCCTGAGTGAGAAAGCCAAAGCCCATCCACGCGTCTACATACTCTCCTTCCACGCAGCATCTAGGCTCGGTGTCCGGCACCACCTGAGCTGCCGTAGGCTGGAAATGTTGAGAGGAATAGAATCAGAACACGTAACTAACCGAGGTCTACGCGGCTCTCCTTTGTAGCTACAGCTACGGGGGCGGCAGGAAGGGGACGTCGTCGTGTGTAGATTGTTGAAGGACGACGGCATGGACTGATGGTGAAGTTGAAGTCTGGTATACATGATTTCTTCAATCGAATGCATACGAGAAAAGAAGTACAGCATGTTTGACGCTTCTGGTGCATGCATGCATATTTCATGTCTGAAACAGGTATATTCATCGCCCCCTGCCAACGAGCAGTTTCCCTCCCTCCATTCTTCTAGTTTACATCTGGTAATCGCACAGCAATATCGCCAGACTGAGTGATATATCGCACCCACGGCAGCGAGGGGTATTGCAGCTGTACACAATCATTAGTCATCATCATTATCTCATGTACTTAGACATCCGACATACCTTTGGCTCGATAATCTTCAGATACCGCACTTGGATACCCGACGTGGTAAAGTAGGGAATCTCAAACTTGACGTTGATCGGTCGCTTCGCTTTGCCTGCACCGACACCTCCCATGCTGCCACCGAAGCCTCCCATCATACCACCACCCTTTTCATCATCACCGCGTACTGACGGTAGACCGAGTTCGGCGCGCATGAGAAACTCCTTGCCACCGCCGAATTGCTTGATCTTCCATACGATCGACGATGTCTCAGGCGCGTAGTGGACGGTACCGATATTGGTGCGGAAGCGTGGTGTGTCGGCGTCTTCAGGGACGGGTATGGAGATTTGCACGTTGTTAGCTGTGCTTCGTCGCTTGAACTGTGCTCGCGCCTGTAACTGTCAGCTTCATACCTCGATCGGAATTGTCCTGCCTACCTTCAACATGTACTCTATCCTGCTACCCGAATGGCTCTCTACTATGCACTCGACCCAAATCAGTGGCTTCACTTGTGTGTTGAGTCGGTAGCTCATGAGCTCAAACTCGCCGTCTGGCGGGATGAAGCTGATTGTGCGGTCGTTTTCGAACCTCGATAACCTCACGCACTGGTGGAACTTGACGTCCTCCATCTCAACAGCCTTGCCTCGAGTGGCTCTTCCTGTAGTCTCAAACATGGCCTTGTCATTCAAGCCCAGCCGTAGCTCCGGCATACCTGATAGATAACACTTCATCTTGACGGCGCCCAGAATTTCAGACCGCAGCACGCTGCCGGTTGCGGAGACTAGGAGGTTGAGCGATTCGATGACGTCGAGGAAAACTTCATTCTTGCGGTATCGGATTCCCTCGCTGCGCCAGCTAACGGCGTTTGTGACTGCGATGGGCGGCCGTGCGATTTCGAGCTTATGCGACTCTTGTGTGATGTATCTGCGCAAACACCTGTAAGCATAACATAATACAAAAAAAGACTCGGGTAGTCAAACTCTTGCAAGATCTTGGTCTCGGTGGTTTGTGGGTAGCCAAAGTCCATCATCTCATCCAGCAGCTCGTAGATGACGACAAAGTTGTCCCGTATACTCTCCTCCTCGAGCTCCTTGAAGTATTCGGTAAAGACCTCCACAATCTTGTGCAGAAAGAGCAATATCTCGGCGGCATTGGTGTTTCGTTTGGTGAGAGCAAGGAGGTAGAGGTTGTTGTGGCGGATGTAGAGGTAGTTGATGCCTTCGCTAGAGAAGCAGGGAGGTACAGCGGAGCTCTCGTCTTCAGCCTCGCTCAGTAGAATGGGGAACTTCTCCACAGCCGACATGGGAATGTCTCCTCTGTAGTTGCGCGCCAAAAGGGTCTACAGCTACCGATTAGTCTACATGTCACATATGACGACTTCAAGCCGTACCTTGCCCTTTAGGTCGAGAAAGAAGATGGCCGACGCCATTGTGAGGGATTGTGAGGGTTATGTGAGTGCTATGGGGGAAGACGATGGGAAGAATTCGCTACGGTATCATCATGCGCGAAGAGAGGGCGATCGAGGGGTATTGGTGCTGTCTTCTGGTCGCGACTCGCTGATGCCAGAGTAATTGCGGCTCATCCCGCGCGCCAAGGCCGCGTCGGGCTAGCTCCGCGTCACTGTCCATCACATATATATGACACGATTAGGGAAAATTCAATAAGAGATAGCTATGAATATGGAATAGGATCCCCATCTAGCATACTCTCCAGGCGTTGTCCCTCCTTGAGCTGAATGTTAGTATATTGCAGTTACGGAGATATTAGCGTCTATCGAGATTGTCGGTGAAATAGGCGGACATTGATATACAAGTCATGCATTATAGCTTCGTCGTAGTGTAGCATAAATCATTCATCGCTCAGATGCTGTACAATGCGAATACAAAGATCGTGAGACAGACATTGCGTGGGAAGTATGAGATGAAAGGGTAAAATGGGATGTTGTTCATTATGAAAAGGCTGGATAACGAACATGTGGAAGGGTGAGTTATCAACGCCCACTCTAGAGAACATCCCCAGACACTAGAACCACCAACACCACTTAACGACATACGACACAATATCTTATAAACTAAAATTTTTAAAATTTATTTAATGGCACGACGCGGTTTTACCCTACACGCCTCCAACACCAACGCCCATGCTAAATAAAACACACACACCTCCCCCTACCCTACCTAACGATCCATAATCCACTCTTTCAAACTAGTAATACTCGACCTCCTCCTCCGTCTCGACCCATCCAGACCCGAAACATCAAAACTGCGCCTTCCACTATCCACACTCCTCCTTCGTTTACTCTCCGTATCCAACACAACAACCACAACCGTACAATTATCCGCACCCTTCATCTTCCCCTCCCTACTCGTAAGTTCCTCTGCAATCTCCTTTGCGTCTTTACCCTGCTCCCAGCGGTCCACAGCCAACCGCGTAACTTCCTCCGCTTGGCTCGCATCACCAACCCCATCGGATGCCAAGAGGAGTAAAGACTGACCATGTAGCATGCGAACTGCGAAATCCGCTTTATTCGACACCAAATCGTGCGTTGCTTTTTTCCCCGGCGCAAGACCCGTTTCCACGCCGATGAGATCGGACAAGTCGTGGCCGGCGAGACGGTTCACACGTGGTTTCTTGTAGTCCAAATCGCCTAGGGCGCGCGACATGCTGACGCCGCCGATGCGAGCGATGCCGGAGCGGTAGTTTATTTCGCCGCCGGCTTTTTCGATTCTTTGTTTTTCGAGCGGGCTGTCGGGCGCGTGCTCGACGCTTAGGCAGTCGACGTGCCAGTTTAGGCCGCTGCAGCTGTTGGTGTCGCCGCCGCCGTGGGTGGGGGAGCTGGGGGAGAGGGATTGCGGGGATGCAGGCTCGTGGTCTGCGAAGAAGGCATGGCTGTCTCCTAGGTTGGCGTGGACGAGGAGGTTTTGCTTGGTGTCAATGAGGGCTAGGGTTACTGTTGATCCGCCGTCGAGATTGTCGCGGTCGAGGTCTTTGTCTATACTTCTCAGGGCGCTTTGTATGGCGATTTTGTATTCGACTGGGCTGGTGGCTTTTGTGGGGTTGGTGAGATGTTGTTCCAGGTGCTCGTGGAGGTGCTGCGAGACGTAGTTGACCACTTCTGTACCGCCACTATTGTTACCAAATGTTAGCTGTCAAGCCACACATTATATCGTCATGTGTGGCAGGCTTACTGGCCATCGTAGACGGCATAAATGGCGATTTCCTTTCGCGACTTCAGCGAACCAGGAGGCAGCGTAATGTAGCGGTCTTCCTGATCTTGTCGCGCACCCAAGATCTGTGGGGAAACGTTAGCCAGTGCAGCCGACTCGGGAATATCGGTGTCCGAGTATAAAAGCCCGGGGGGTGGGAAGGGATAGTCCGCAAGGAACACAAGACGCACCGTGCTAACACCGACATCGACGATATTCACGCTCATTGCTGGATTGATTGAAACTTTTGGAATTGGAATTGTTCGGGATATTTTCTTTTTCGTGGGATGTTTAATGAAACAAAGGAACCACCCGTTTGCTTGTCCCTTCTACTATAGTCTTCCCCATCGTCATAGGCCAAGGCCGTGCCCAGCACCAGCGTTTGTGGCGAAAAGCCCGGCGGGCACACGCGACCATCACAGTATACGACGTCATCTGTCCATCAGACTTACTACATTTGAACCCAATCAAGGGGTTGCCCGCCCAGGTTTATTGGTTTATGCACTCAGCCTCATAGCCTAGATCGTTTTGATCCGCTGGCCGCTGTTGTTGGGGGTTCCAGAACGTGGGGTTTGTGGAGTAGTCGAGCGTTTGGAGCGTGGGGCACGTGATACTTTCCGGTCTTCATGGCGTGCTGCGTGCGCCGGCTAACCACCCTGAACCATATACGTGCCGGCCCATCTTTCGGAAAGGAGGTGTGAATGGATATCTCTTCCGTACCACTATTGCGGTTGTCAATGTGTTGTGCGTAGGTTACCTGCCAGCATGTTACGCGTTGTGACTGTTACAAAGATCGGCGGTGATGTGCGTCCATGACCTATCATGTGGATGCTTGACCGTGTGATGCGTTCTTTTCAAGTTCATTGCCGATCTATGGAAACTTGGCTATGGAGCGGACTGTCTTGTAAAGACTTGACTTCTATACATGTGTCGTTGAGCGATTTCAACGAAAATGCCTCACATGCGTGCACTGCCTCAAGGTGAGAATACGAGCAGAGGAAATTGCCGCGAATCGTCCGGACCACATCCTAAGCGTCGTCACGGGTCCGCCTGCCATGCTCTACTTCGGAGGACTGCGGGTTCTCACTTCTCGGGACTTCCCTTCGAAGACTTCAAAGTGGACAGACTTCTTGGGTGTCGAATGATATCGCTCAGTCCAGTAACCGCCCTTGGTATAACCCATATGCACTACCACAATGCACTATGAGTCGGTGCTGTTCATCCAGTCATCCCTAAACTTCTTCCATATTCCATCTCCTCTGAATCCCCACACCCTCTTCTCCTTCTTCAATTGCTCCAACCTGTACTTCAGTACGCGCTCTTGTTCCTTGTAGTCTCCACCACGGCGTTCAACCTCAGCCAACAGCTCCAAACAAGCAATCTCCTCGCTCATACAGGCGCATATCGTCTCGACAGACTCCTCCACATCTACGCCGAATTCGTAAAGCATCGTGCGGAGAGTGATTGTTGCTCGTCCGTCGGCTAGCAAGTGGTTTCGCAATGACAGTAGTGCCGCTGGTGTTGGAGACTCCACGCCCTCGATCTTGACACGACATAATGGGCATGTCCTATACGGATATTTGGCTTCGTCGATCTTTGGCGTCACCATCCACTGCTCTAGACAGGCTTTGCCGACTACATGGCCGCAGTATTTGATCCGAACCGGGTAGTCCGCCAACAGGTCCTTGACTGTGAATTCCGACAGGTCCGTGTATGAGTTCTGACATACAGGGCAACAACCGGCATTGTCGTCTACAACCGAAGTATTGCCTGCGATATCGGTGAGTAGTGAGAGGGGTATGGCGCATGCGAAGTGGTCCACTTTGATGAACTGCGTCCTCTCCACGATGAATTCGACGATATTCATCATCTCATCATCCATGTTGGATTCTTCAATAATGCGCCGAGTTCGTCTTCCTGCAACTTCGCTGACATCTTGTAGTCTCTCAGGTAGATTCTCATGTAACACGACCATGAATCCAGCTCGTAACCGGTCTTCTGACGAACTGAGTCCAGGGTTTGATAGCGCCATGTAGAGCTGTTCCTGATCTGTCAAGTCGTCTCTTCGACGCTCCTTCTCCACGGCGAGTCTGAATAACCGGATTTCGTGCTCCCTGCCCATTGTTCGGCCATGATAATCGAGCACGGTAAAGAGCCATGCCTGTGCTGCCCCGGATGCTTGGCGCACCTGCTCATCGTCCATGTCACCAAGGCGCAAGGGATGTATTAAGGTATTGAGAGGAAAGTGGTGGCGCTCAAGCTTTCGAAGTTCCCCAGGTGTCATGGATAGCGCCTGCCGTGATTCATCCGCCTCTTTCTCAAACTTCCGCAAATTGCGAAGGTTTCGCAGGCGCAGGCGCACGTGCTCGTATACTGAAGGGAATGAGCTAGCTGGGTTTTGTGAGTCCTGAAGCAGCGTACCTTCTGCAGTCGCCGGAGTAAGTTGGCTCGTGGGCGGCGCCCAGTTGTCTAGGCCGGTTGACATGGTTGCTCAGATTGGTTGATTATTGAATGGAAATGGGAATGGGTATAGGCGCGCAGTGTGAAAGAATTGAGGGTAAAGTTGAATTGGAGTGTTTGCTCGCGACAAGTATGGAAGCGAGCGGGGCAGGCCCCAATGCGCTATCGCACGTGATTGGAGGGCTGGGGCCGCATCCCAATGCGAACATGCGAGTGAATTAGTGTCTCAGATACTATCACGACCCCGGTTCATCAAGCCAATCACCTCCTTCTGGGTACCATGTATTTGGCATAGCTATTCAACAGCCATGACATTACAATCAAATTCGAACGTCTTGACATCCCAGCATCAAACATACCCTGTCTGTCGCCTACGTCCATGAACCATGTAGCCATCACTACTCAGCAACCGTTCATGAAAACTTGAGTCTGATTCTGAATCCAGAGTCTCCCACTACGGGCTCAGCGTGAACAGGATCAATAGATAAGCTGCGTTCGTACATGAATACGACGTCTTCATTTCATGATCAACCTCCAGGGTATAACGTGTCCAGATAACTCACATCTCAGATAAACATGATATAATTCAATATCCTCCCACCACATGCTGTCCTCACCAAATAAAACCCCCATCTCTTACTCCAACCCCCACATAATCCCTCCACTTACAAAATCTTACTCATCCTCTCTTTCCACCCCACCTTCTCCCCCGCAACCTCCTCCCCACTCCCCAAACTAACCCCCTCATCCACAAACCCTCCACCATTAGCATCATAAACCTCATCCGGCAGCACCGCCTTCTCAATAAACGTCTCCCTCGGCGGCGCCACCACCATTTCCAACAACGCATAAACACCCGCTGTCGCAAAAAACCCCAGCAACCACCCAAACTTGTACGGCCTATCGCCCACCCCGACGTGAATATTCGTGTTGATGGAGTTGATGAAGCCAGGCATGTTTGGCGCGACACCGACGAGAAACGCGGCGATGGCACGCCAGTTCCAACCCTTGGTGTACCGGTAGATACCGTGGTATTGGTACAAAGCCAACGTGTCGTATTTCCCACGATGCACGACCCAGAAATCTACCACCATGATGGCGGCAATGGGGCCTAGGAAAATCGCATAAGCGCTCATAAAGTTTAGAAACGTGCCTGCTGACGCTAAAATCTTCCACGGTACAAGCGCCCAGCAGAGGACGGCGCAGAGGAGCTGGCCCCGCCGGATGTTGATGTACTGTGGGAATAGGGCGGTGAGGTCGTTGGCGGCGGAGAGCGAGTTTGCGGAGATGTTTACGCCGAGGGCGGCGAGGGCGAAAGAGAAGGCGGCGAAGAAGCGGGCGGCGCGCGAGGGCCAGTGGGCGATGAGCGCCATGGGGTCCCAGTCCAGCGTGCCGTATTTGACGGCGCCGGCAGAAGTGGCGGCGACGCCGATGAAGGAGATGAATGTGAAGACGATGGGGAGGAAGGGGACGTAGATGAGTTGCCATTTTACGCTTACACGGGAGTAGCGGGAGAAGTCGGACTGGGTGGTGTTAGTTTCTGATATCTTGATATCTCATCTCAAAAGGAGTTGGGGAAAGGGGAAACTCACCTGATTAACAGATAACGTAGCATAATTCCCAATCACACTCGTCAAACTCGACAAAAAAGCCCAACTATACGCACTCCCCTCGAGCTTCGCCTTTTGATTCCACATATCCCCTCCACCATCCGTCCCCACAAACGCCCAGATGAGAATCGCCACCCACGCAACCGGCACCACCACACTCTTCGCCATAAACAGCCACCTCAACTCATTCGGATGCATAACAAGAAACGGCACACTCCCAAGCCAAAACAGGAAAAACGAAATCATCGTCGCGGTATCGATGCCCTGCGACGCCGGAATCCCATTCTTGAGCGTGAGAAAAGACGGCCAGATGGCGCCCAGCATGACGCGCACGGCATTCGCGCCGTTCATATTTTGGATTGCGAACCAGAAGATTGCGAGGATGGCGCGGGATATGATGGCGATGTAGGAGCCCCAAAACCCCCAGGACGCGCGGGCGATGACCGGGAAGGGGACGTGGTGCAGGACGCCGATTGCGCCATTCAGCGCGATGACGAAGGAGATGATGAAGAAGGCGAGGCCGACTATGCCGAGGGATTCGCGCCATGTTAGACCTGAGAATTATTAGATCTTGAGGAATTTCAGGGGGGTTTTTTTTTGGAGTATGGGGTCGTGTACCGATTGCGATGATGGAGGATGCAAACTGCCATGTTGCTGCACTGTATTATTGTTAGAAACAACTCATCCCATCTCTTCAACTTCTTCTTCTTCTTCTCCAGCACAAACGTATCAACATTCTCCACTCACTTGAAAGCATCAGAAACCCAATACGAGATAAAACTCGTAACCCCCCATTTCCTCGCATGTCTAGGAACAGGATCAAGATCTCTGTTTGTCCTGCCAAAACATCAGCAAAATCCATTCAAAGTTGCCAGAACCGCGCGCGCGTTCATCCACGTCCTCAACACCCAAACTCACCACCGTGCATTCCCCTCCGCGAACGCAGATTTTGTCTGCTCAACCTTGAGCGTCCAATGCGGTTTCTCGATTATCGGCATCTTTGTTGTCCGTCTGCCTCGCTGCCTCGCTGCCGTCAAAGCACGCGCGTGCGGTGTGAAATGCGTTAAAATGTCAACAAAATCCGGTTCGCCCTGGCGCGCAAACCAAACCAAACCAAACCAAACCACCCAGTCGATAAAATAAAAACAGCGGCGGCGGACACGCTGCCCTCTTTATTTATCCAGGGACAAGGGACAAGCCGTATGTAAGTATCCGTAGCACAGATCAATCTCCGTCGAGTGCTTAGATATGCGTATCCTCGTTACTTATGTACTTACATACATACGTTGATCATCTCCCCCATGCATGTGAATAATGCCCAGGAAGTGATTGATGATAAGACAAGTACCGCACGCACGCTAACTACAACGCCACAAAACTCGGCTTGGTCTCGATAAAACTTCTCTTGAGAATAAGCTGTTCCCCCTCACAGCTAGCGGCACAGCCTAGCCCAGCCCCCCTCGGTCCCTTGGAGCTATCGTTTATTCGACTGGTGCTAGGTGCAAGATAAGCCTGCCCTGGTAGCTGGGCTGGGCTGGACCTCGTCTGGAGTGTGATGCAAGTGCAAGCGAGACGGGGGTTCGGTTAGGCACAGTAGGTAACGAAGTGGCAGGGGTGGGAAGAAAAGGGCCGCGAGGGTAGCGGTTTACGGTAGTGATTTCCCCAGACAAGACAACGTTCCCCACGTCTGCAGGTGGCAGCGATAAGTAGTGGTAGCGTGTGTTCTCCGCCGATACGGTACACGCGAGCTGAGAAAGCAGGAAAAAGAAAAGATAGATTTACCGACTAACGGAGCTTCGCGCAATTGTACTACTTTACTACTCTACTGCACGATGATCTAGATGGTCTTCTCTGTGACGGTGATGATGGTGGTAGACATGTCAACCCGTCAACCTGCCATAGTTCACGCACTAACCAAAAGGTCCGTAAATCGGCAATGCCCTTATTCGTTGTAACTCGTAATAGATTTTTCTTATCTCAATAACCTAGCTATAATAGCCCAGCAATTTTACACATATGCCAAGGTATGGTCATCCCGCATGGTCGCATTCACACCCATTTCCACCAGACCACCAGCTACCGAAGAGCCAGTGACGACCAACTCACCAACCGACTGATCTTCCGTGGTCTTGTGTTGTGGTGTATCCTTTAGCTTGATTTCCACGCAACTTAGCGGTACGCCGAAGTGGCTGTGTTTGTTCGACGGCATGTCGCCTCTTCGGTAATCGTAAACGTTTGTTTGCGCAACGGCTCCAGCGACCTTTGCGGTGGTCAAGGCATATACGACACGCGCTTTGGTGTATATGCGGAGATCAGAAAGGTCTTCGGTGCTGAGCGGTGGTGTGTTCAAGCCTTGACGCTCCGAGACAAGCAGTAATCGCAGTTTACCAGGCGTCGTGCCAATGACGGCTCGCATGGGCGCGTTGAGCTTTGTAAAAACGTTTTCGGTGGGTAGACGACCGGCAGCTAACATACGAGTCTCCAAGTAGTGTGCAAGTTTGTGTGGGCCACTAGTTACCGATGACTTGGTGGTACTGTGGAGCTTCGCAGCTGTTTCAGCCGAGACGACGGTAACAGTTGGGGCAATCGAACGAGTGGCAAGGGTGAGGTCAACACCTGGTCCAGCAACAGATTGGATGATGACGGTAGCATGGGAAAACAAGGCAGCCAGAGTCCAGCATAGACTGTAAGAGTGTGTAAAGGCGTCGGCGGGAAGGAAGGTATCCTCAGCATTGAGACGGTGTGCTGCAGGCAGAGAGGTGATAAGCGCGCCGATAGCAGCAGTCAGGTTCTACAGCAATTAGTATGGGACATGTAACAAGCTCCTCCTGTGCGTACCTGTTGGGTGAATTCAACAACTTCAGCAGGCTTTCCCACAGCCTCCTGCCAGAGGAAAACAACACCGGGAGGTTTTCCTGAAGTAGCGGGTAGTGATGCAGCAGCGCTCTTCTGTTCCTGTACAAGCTCGTGCCAGACAGCGACATCAATCTTGCCGCCAATACCCTCTGGTACCTCGCTCCAATCCATGTGCCTACTCGTCTTTTCTACAGTCCAGATGACGGAACGAAGACCGGATGAGCCCTGGCTGATGTCTGCAAGAGAAAACGAGCCAGCCTCGGCGACTAAAGTATCAGCTCCCGTCTGAACCAGAAGCTCGACGAGGGTTTGTTGTGGCTGGTTGTATGGGATCAAAATGGGCGTGAAGTCGTAGAAGGCACCAGCAAAAAGTACCGCCAGAAACTCAAGACTGTTTGGTAGGTATACGGCCACTTTCTTCGCGCTTCGATCCTGCAGATGCTTTCCAATGATGGCAATTTCCCTTGTGATGTCCTCCACCTTGTGCTCCGTGACGCCTTCTTTGCCAAAAACGGTCATGATGTTTGCCATGCCGCTGGATTTGGCGCCTTTTTCAAGAGGAATCTCGCCCATCACTCGCTTCCAGATATCGCGAAGGTCTCCATCCTTGCCGGCCGAGTACATGGGAGCACCAGGAGGGCGTACGGCGAGTCCGGTACGGAGCGGGTCTGGCACATGTCAGTCGCGAACGCTGTAAATGCTTGATGAATAACCCTACAGCCATGGGGAGTCTCGGGTGACCTGAAGATAGCCGACTCTCCCGGCTGCCTCACATAGGAAGCTTGCGCCTGCCTTGCAAGCAGCAGCGGATGCGTATCGGGGTCGGCACTGTCGTAAACAATCCAGAAGAGGTAACCGATGATGCCGAAGACGATGAAGGTAGTGTAGATATTCCAGCCCATCAAAAGGTTGGAGATGGCTCCATCGAGCTGTTCTATGATTCCGGCCATGATTGAGTTACATGAAGCAAGTCAGGCCAAGAACGAGGCGTGCGAGGTTTGTGGTAGCTGCCCGGCGGGATGACGGCGGGGTGAAGGCTGCGGCTAGTAACCCCTGTCGGCACTAGCATGTCCGCCGATCGCCCTTGCCAAAACATCGTTGCCGTGATACAATAATGAACCACTTCTCTTTATCATCGCGATTCTCCCATTCTTCGTGATGCGCTGTGGCCTCGCAACTCTGCCATAATACTAATTACTAACCCTATAGCAGCAGTGAAAGTCGTAGTCTGGAAACTGACTGTTTGAGCTCTTGCGCCTCTCCTTGAGCAAAACAAACAAGCAACCAGCTTTGGAAGCTTCAACCCACAGTCAACATGTCGGTCGCCAGATACACGCAGCCTACGCTGCCGCAGACACCAGGAAAGCCCTCCGCACAGCCAGAACAGCCATACACACCAAACGGGTCATGGAAACATCCACAGTTTGAAGAGATCGCGCGTCGTCAATATGCTACCACATTCGACGAGCGCAACATCCGCGCCATCATCCTCAATACCGGAATCCTCTTCCTCTCAGTATGGGGAAACGCCATGACAGAAAAGGTCAAGTTATTGGAGTACGCAGCGTGAGTAACCCTCGCAACACGCCAACATGAGCACTCTGACATGACGCCAGCACCCCCATAAACGCGCTCGTAAAGGCCGTCCCATACAGCCATTGGGGTGTCCTCCTCATCCGATTCCTCTTCGTCGCAAACATCGTCATCGCCTTCCTCCCCCTCGTCCGCCGATACTACCCCGACGACATGGCCGATATAGCTCTTACACCGTCCCAGCGCGCGGCCATGGGCCTCAAAGCCGATGTCAATGCGCCTCCTACCCCAGGCTCTGTCTACGCTTCTCCAAACTATGTCACACCGCCGCGTTACCAGCGATCCACACCACGCAGCAATAGCTTCAGCAACGGTTCGCAATCGCCGCTGAATGGCAGCCCTCGCGCAAGCCTCGGAAGATCGACGTCAAACTCGTCATACTCGCCCAATAGCGCAAGTCCAATGTTTCAACGCACGCTGAGTGGATCGGCAAAGCGGTCGAGCTATGGGAGTCCGATGAGCAGCAGTTTGTTTGGTGAGAGCTCTAGTAGCTTTACTCCTGGTACTCCGACTCCGTCGACGGGTAAGGCTAGTGTTGGGTTGAACAACAAGTGGCTGTATGAGAAGCGTAGGGATAGTCCCAAGAGCAGCTTGTTCATGTGAGGGGCTTGGGTGCTGCCATGACGTCGGATGAATGACGCTGTAGCTACGGAACATATCGCTTTATACCCCGATATATCGCGCTGGCGTTTGGGTTTTTCTTCACCACATAGCTTGGGGGGTTTTGTTCGAGCGCTGTATAATTTGCGCAGAAAGACAGACAGAGATAGAGAGCGGGGAATCTTTGATAATAATGTCCCCATATCTAACCAGACTTTTTCGCCCAATCCCAGTATCGTGAAACCGTGAAGCCTCGTATAATGTACATGTTATCTTCTTCCCTCACACACACCCCTCACAAGCCCCATCTACGAAAATCGATCCCCCTTCCGACTCCGATATACCTCATTAGCCTCATACTTGCTCTTCTCGCCCACCCTCTGTCCCTCACTCTCCGGCGCATGTCTCGTAGGCGCCGGATCCTGACTCGCCTGTATACTCGGATTGCCCTCAGCCTGTCCCATCCCACCCCCAATACCTCTTGTCACACTATTTGGCGCCGCCTGCGTCGACCCCGCCCGTGCCGTCGGATTCAACGGCGTAGTCACCGGCGCGGATTCCTGCATGCCATGCTCGAGTTGGTAGATACGAATGCGTTTTTGACGGTCGGCTTCTGCTTTTGCGGCTCGGTCGGCGTTGATGCTGCGTTTGGCGAAGAAGTAGGCGCCGCCGCCTGCGACGATTAGGGTGGCCCAGCCGTAGCTATCTTCACCATTAACACCTTTATTCTTTGTAGTTTTTTTTTTTCGCTGGGGCGCCGTACTATACTGATTTAACCTGTAAAGTGGTTAGCAAGGTTGTATTGATTTGGAGAGGGGGGAGAAGCTTACGGTGTTCATTTTTAGGGGTACAAAAGGTGATTGGGGGAAAGGAGGAGGGTTTGCGACGGGTGTGAGGGAGGTTTTTTGGGTGGGAGGAAGTGCGGGTTGGGTTGGGGTTCGTTGGGGTGGGAAAGTGGTCTGATTGTTTGTAGGGCTGACGGAGATTGTTCGGAGTTAAGAGGGGCGGGTGGGGGAGGAGATGGTGCACCCGCGAAAGTGCTCTTTCCTGGAGTCTCCTCGATTTGGTTATCCAAATTCCGCTGTTGCCTGGCCATGTAGGCATGACTCATCAAGGTTACTGTTGTGGTACGTCATGATTGTTGTGTCACATTCGCTTACCCGTCGTGCTTTCTGTGACTATTTGTTCGTTCTGTAGTCTCTCACTCTCACCGTACCCATGCTCTTGAAGGGCTGTCTGTTTCTTGTTCTCCACTCTGCTCTCTCCATCGAAACACTCTCAACATGTCAAACCACATTCCAATGACCTTCCGCCTGATGGACCTTCCTCTGGAGCTCTTCCAACAAATCATCTATGAAACTATACTCGCGCGAGGAAGAAAACGCGGCCTAAGGCTTATGCTCGTGAACCGTAGGTTATTGAAAGTTTGGAATTACACATAAGTTGATCCATCTAGGTTTCTTCCGCGAGCAAGTGCGCTATGTACTCTGTATGAACAGCATGTTAGATGGAGCCTGGCCATATCAGGGAGAGTATTCAATGGTGCAATCCTATCTGGAATACTGGGTCAACACCGAGCCTAGAGATGGCAACCGCATCCTCGTAATCATTCGTCAGGTTGCCGAACACTTGACGACAGAAGAGTCGGAGACAAAGCGCTACATATCGTCTCTGTGTAAACTGGCCATGAATCATGATGGCTTCTTCCGCTCACTGCGCAACGCCAGTGTTCGGGAATGTATCCTCAAACAAGAGTTTGAGACACATCTTCACGCTGCCGCTGTCTACATGAACCACGTTTCTGATATACAGGCTTGGGGGATCCCGGAGTCTACAAGCTTTCTTTTTGGTGCGCCCTACGACTTGGCGGCTAGGTACGGATCAACGGATATCATGGAGCCCTACCTTCAACACGACATTGCTCAGGTTGACATTTGTGCATTAGTGGCCGCTGCACAAAAAGGTAGATTAGATATGGTCCGCTTCATCTTTGAGTCTCACATGGATGCCAAGTCTGATCAATGGAAGAGTTTCTGGATGACACGAAATGGACAGATTCGGATTCGAACTATGTTAATAACACCGAACCCCGAGATCTGGGATTATTTCCTGAACGAGCGCGGGAAGGTCAAATTGACATTTGATCCTAGCATGGCTGGCCTGTGCAGTATGCGTCAACTGTCAGTCTGTATTCGTTCAAGATGCTGCCGATTTGGCTGGACAGAAATGGCCAGGTATATCATTGGGCGAGCAAAAGAGATATCGCTTCCCTACAAGCAGATACACCTTCAAATCGCTATATCCGCCTGATCCACGGACATAATGCAGCTTCTACTCGAGTGGCGAGGCAGCATGTCCAAAGAGGAGCTAGAGGATTCAATTCACCTTGCAGCCTCTCATGGCCGTTTCACAATGCTGCACATCCTACTCGATCATACCATTGCAATGCTAGGTTCAGTACCTCAAGATTTAATTTCTGGTAGCTTGGTTGCTGCAGCAAAAAGAGGCTGTTGGGATGCAGTGCGGCTACTTCTTCAGCATGGCGGAGATCCCAATGAAGTCGACAGAAGACTACCCGCCATCTCTTAGGCAATCCTAGCAGAGCACATTTACATGATTCAATACTTGTTAGATCATGGTGCTCGTCTGCCCGAAGGGGAGCAGCGAGCCAAATGCTTGGAGAGAGCAAAGTTGGAAGGAGTGGAGCTGATGCGTGAGGTGTTGGAAGCATGACCTTTTGAATGTTTTTCTCCTTCCATGTATGGTCTCATTTGGGCGTTTTGGTTCTTTTCACAGCGGACATGGTCAATGTTTTGTGCTTTTGGAACTATTCCCGCCATTGCCTGACCGACTGCCGGCAAAGCAGAGGCAAACATTCAAGCACAGGACTTTTGAGACTTGGTCGAACGGGTTCCAGTACATTGATGCGCGGCGTAGCTACTACAACGGGTAGTCCGGACGGGCAGGCCCACAGGGGTGTAACGGAAGAGACCCACTTATAGCGGCGGCTATCTCGAAACATCAGCCCTTGAAGGCCATGGCAATCTCGCCAGTCAACTTTTCGATACATTTTCCTGCAAACGTCTGTGCTACTTCCCGGTTAATGTTCGGGGATGTATTATCTCGGCAGCCTTGTTCCGTCATGTTTCGCTGTTGGTGTGCTGACCTTTTGATTCGAAACTCGACTTTCTGGTCGTCGAAACCTCCCACGCCTCATCGTTGGCGCTACTTGGCAGGGCGGAATGCGCAATGGGGGTTGAAGGAGCGCTAAATGACGGAGTGCATAGGTTCTCGAAGTTTGAAGCTGGTGGAGCTGCCTCAGTAAACTTCTCGTACGGCCCATGACAGGCGAGGTAAACCTATCATGGCGCTGCAATAAGCTCACGTCAGGCTGCTTGTACCGAGCTTGGCGGTATTTCCTACTCCACTTCTTCTTCGCCAAGTCGTGACTGAGGCGCCTAGGGCATAAACATCCCTTGATGTGTACGGAAGCTCGTCTCATGAGAGCGGGACACCAACGGTCATCATGAGTAATTGGGGCCAGTGGGGGTGAACTACACGGTCAAGATGAACAGTATATAGATGACCTACCAGTTCCTCTGTTGTCAATCACTTCCATCATCAGCTATCTTCACTTCTTCAGCTCGACGCTACCCTCTTTCTTTAACATTTCATTCTATTCTCAGCGCTGAGCGCCAACTTTCTTTCACCCCCAATCAATATGCGTTACTCTGCTACTTCCTTTGCGCTTGCCGCATTCTTCACCACTGTCCACTCCCACGCTGCCATCCTGGCGGCCGTTGGCGACAAGGGAACGAGTCAAGGCTTCTTGGTTGATCCTGACCTCGCCCGCAACTGCACCACCATCTCTCCCTGCCAGCAAGATGCCACCATCATCCGTAACTCTGAGATCAAGCAGAACATTGTCAACGCCTGCGGCAGGACCGAGATTGCCGGAAACATCGACATTGGCGAGCAGACTGAGAACGAGCTCGCTGCCGGCCGCATGGCCCAAGTCTCTGCCGGCTCCATGATTGCAGTCACCATCCACCAGGTCAACGCCGATGGCGCTGGACCGTTCGAGTGCGACATGGACGAGACCAGCAACGCTAAGACGGACTTCACGCCCCTGAAGGTCTCCAACAACGTGCCCGGTGCCCTCGGTCTCTCCCAAGCCAAGGAGAAGGACTTCACCATCAACGTCCAGATGCCCGAGAAGTTCAACTGCCTCGGCGCCTCCACGGGTGACATCTGCACTATCCGCTGCCGCAACAACGCCATCGCCGGTCCCTTTGGTGGATGCTTCGCCGTCCAGCAGACTGACGGAACTGGCCGTACTAACAAGAGCGCCGCTGGTAAGTTACAAATTTCTCACTCATTCATTCATCATCAACAACATGTCAGCCCTATTCTTGTATCCATACTCACTGCGACTTAGCTGTCGACACTGCTCAGACACTCGAGGGTATCTCGGCACAGATTCTGCAGAATCAAAAGGATCTTCCTGCTGCTATTGCTGCGAACCAGGCTGCTGGTGCTGCTGGTGGTAACGAGGGTGCCAGTGCCATTTCCGGTGCGTTTGCTTTTTTTTCTTCTTCCCACGTCGCTTGAAATTTTTACTGGTTCAATTGAGACTGACGGTTTATTTTAGCTCTTGTTCCTGCTGCTACTGCTCCTGCTGGAAACAACAACAATGGCAACAACGGCAACAACAATGGAAAGGGGAACGGCAACAACAACGGCAAGCAGAACGGTGGCAATGGAAACCAGAATGGGGCTCAGGGTGGTAACCAGGCTGGTGCCGGTGCTCAAGCTGGTAACCAAGCCGGTACAGGAAACGGTGCTCAAGCTGGTGCTGGTGCCGGTGCCGGTGCTCAACAAGGAAACAACCAGGGTGGCGCCAACCAGGGCAACCAGGGCGGAAACAACCAAGGCCAAAACCAAGGCCAATTCCAGCAAGGACAAAAGGGCAAAGGAGCCAACAAGCTCCGTCGCTTCAGCCTCAACTTCTTGGGTTAAACGCACCCCTCCCCTCGCTCCTGACAGCAACAACAACAACGGTGGAAGACATCAGCAACACTCAACTAGTGGATTGATTGAAAAAGTTGGTTCCTCGCGAAGAAATCAGGCTGGTCCCCCCACATCTTATATATTTGTATAGTGTATATACCCCCAACCCGCTTTTTTATATAGGTAGCTTTTTACATATGATGGTTGGCACAACTTTCGGAGGGAATGGAATTTGTATTCTCTTCGATATTTTGGGATTGACTGTGTGTGTGAGTGTGCGAGTGAGTGATGTTTTTGTGATGGTTGGTTAGTGTGGTAGTCTGGTGGATGTAACGGCCACTACTGAGGAATTTCTTGCGAAGAGACGGGGGGTTCTAGACGCCATATTCTTCACATTGCATACCAGAGTAGTAGGCTACAAATCCATACTGCACGCCGTATGATCTTACCGACAGTCCAGTCTGTTGCAAGAAACCCATACCCATACCCAACCTACCTACCTACCTACACCCTCTCTCTCCTCCTCCTAATATCGCATCCGCAACCCTCCCCGCCACCGCATAAACTCCCGCACTCAAATGCCCCGAAATCTGCGTCGGAAAAACACTCGCATCCCCCACCCTAACATTCACCGTCCCATACACTTTCCCCTTGCTATCAACAACACCGCCCAACTCGCGACTCATCATCGCACAAGTACTCACGGGGTGTGAGTTACCATTCAACGTCTTCTTGATCCACGACTCCCAGGCTACATCTCTCCAGCCCGCGTCTTTTGGGACGGTGTCCAGCCCGGGTGAGACCTCGCCGGTGATAATATCGGAGAGCGGGGATGTGGCCATGTATTCACGTATACGTACTGCTGCAGCTGCTTGGGCGTAAGTGTCGATGGGTAGTTGGAGGAAGTTTGGGTTGATGCGTGGGGGTGCGTTGGCATCGGAAGTATTAACATGTATGGAGCCTCTAGACAGGGGTAATAAATTCCAGAGTTGCGCTATGATTTGGTTATTCACGGGTGCCCAGAGGAGTTCGACAAGCGGGACTGTGCTGCTGGTGTTGAAGATTAGGTCGATCTGGTGCGTAAGCAGCTGTTCTTGCGTCGACAGCGATATGGTGTCTGGGACGTACTCGGCGATGATGGTCGCGGCGTAGGCGCTGATGTTCGCTCGCACTTCTGCGGTCAGGGCTGGGAGCGAGGCGTCGAAGAGGTCAGAGGCGGTTAGGTAGGTTACGAAAGTTGGGTAGCCGGTGAAGTTTTTGGAGGACGTGAAGGTCATGCCGTTTTGGGGTTGGTCGGGGAGGTTGGAACCTACGCTGTGGATGGGGTTGACGGTTTTGATACCAAGGGGTTCGAGGATGGCTAGGTTGCCGATGCCGGAGTGCTCGAGGAGGGCGGGGGATCTTATGGAGCCGGCTGTGAGGATGACTTCTTTGGTGGCGAGGATGGTTGTGGTTATGTTGTTTGCGTTGGTTTCAACGCCGGAAGCTAGTAGATTGGGAGTTGCGGACTTTTCGTCCCAGATGATTCGTAGTGTGGTGGTGTTGAGAAAAACGTGGAGGTTTGGTCTAGATGCAACGGGGAAGTAGAATGATCTGGCCCCATCTGCTCGCGTTGGTCCAGTTTCGTTCAGCGTCATGGGCCAGGTGTTAAACCCACGCATCTTGCCATCGTTCGGTTCCTTGTTATACGGATACCCAAGCGCTTCAGACGTCTCTTTCATCAGATCCCTAAATCCAGCAGTAAGATACGGAGTGAAACCAACAGCTAGCTCCCCCTCCTTCCCATGCGCATCATCGTCATATCCCGTGCCCCTAGCCTGCAGCTCAGCACTCGGCGTTTGAAATCCCTCTTGCGCAATAAAGTACTCAAAAAGACTATCCCAATTCCAACTCTCGTTCCCCAACTCTTCCCACGCATCAATCTGATCCTTCTCCGCTTGCAGATACGTCATACCATTAATCGTCGTACTCCCGCCCAACGCCTTTCCAGCCCAGTAATTCAACTCACGGTTTTCAGCATACTTTTGCGGTACCGTCATGTAACCCCAGTCAATCGATGTACCGATAAACAGGCCATACTCGAGAAGCGATTTTGGGACGTATGTGACATTCGGGTTGTTGTACGCAGAGTCTCCTGCTTCGATGACTGCAACGGTGATGTTTGAATCTGCGGATAGGCGGTTCGCGATGAGTAGACCTGCTGGGCCGCCTCCGACGATGACATAATCGAACGTCTGTGGCGCGCATGTGGCGCCAATGACGTGTGTCAGGCCGACTAGAAGGCAAGACCACAACATGATGAGCGGGAGGAGGATGACAGGTACCAGGTAATATCGGTGCCAGGAGCGACATCTTCTTTTTGTAATGCAAGCTTGTGGAGGCCTTACGAAAATAGGCCTCCCAATTTCTCCGCAATGGGTCATGTCTAAACGTCAGGCCTTCTAGTTTCCATACCTACCACCCGTAGACCTGGCTAGGAGTGCGCTAAGATGTATAGTCTAACCTACCCCGGCAAGCTAATGCCTGCGGTGGGGATCCTGGGGTCGTTGAGCCTCTGGCGTCATCGCGCAGAACACAAGAGGATCGTCAAACAACAACGAGTTCGAATTTACGAAATAGGTACCTAACATCGGTCACTATGTCGCGAGACACACACCGTAGCGAGATAAAGAACAGGGACTTTGAAATTAGAAGACTCTAATACTTTAAGCACACCATATATTTAATATCTTTCAAGTTAATAATCTTTCCTGCCTATTGAGGAATAATACTTAGGTTAGGGATACTAAAATTACGGTCCCGTTGTCGCCCTTGTGCCTAGTTGTCGAGACGCGGTAAGAGCCTTCACTAGTATTCACGGTGAATCAGGCTTCCCGTGCTCTGATTGGCCAGGCACTGATTAGTCAGCTGCTCCGTGCGCGCACCATAGATATTCTCACTCCTCCCGTAGCTCCAATACAACAAGTTCACGCACATTTCTCCACCTTCATCACTAGTTGTAGAGAGCTGTTTTTACGTCGTGAAAAAAGCTCTACACGTTACAACACTGCATTTAAGGCTGTTATCTATAATTTCTACCCATTCAATAATTTTGTAACTAGAATCGGGCTATAGTGCTACGAAGCTTTCATTAGTTGTGTGGCTGTCAGGGTGTGCGACATCATGCAAAGTTGCCACACTAGTCGGTACCTTGAGCAGAACTTGCAAGGATACTTGCTTACTAAAGAAACATTAAGCGAGTGTATTACATATTAAGTCTAAGAAATCGGCAAACATGGCTGCTGTAGCTGTAGCTTTGCGCTCTGACCATTCCTAGTAAGTAGTAGAAACGCGCTTTGAGTAATGTCAACCACTGCGAAGCAAGATACACAACGTAGCGAGACGCATTTGCACCTGGAGCTCGGAATTTCGTTCTTCCCTGGAAGGTTTGACCTCTGTGTAACGAGTCACGACTCTGCAGTGATTACTTACTTAGATTAGCATTTTCTAATAGAGATCGTCATAGCATGGCTCAAGCTGTTGATGATCTTGTCCACGCTGTTTAGGTCTCCCATGCTTTCCTTACTCTGAACCTACAGTCTTAAAATAGTAAATCGAAGCCTCTTCGTGCTGGACGAATAATTTAGAACATGTTCGCTTGGATCCCTAGGTCTCATAGCTATTGTCACCTTCTAAGAGACTTTCTAGGAGTTTCTCTATACTCGAACGATAGTAGCAAAACTTAGCGGCTTTTCTTAATGCACAGGTGTGATTATATAATCTCAGTTGCGCTACTATCTACACCCAAACCAGTTTCGTCCTAAGAGTAACTGTGGCTCCTGTTTCTAAAGGGTTTATAGTAAGAGTCAAGCTAATAAGCGTTAAAGAGTCCAAATGTTCCAATTGACTACAACGCATAGTATGCTATTGACAATCAACTATCCACTTACTTATTGATCCTCCTTAAGGCAGACTAGGACAATTGGGGGTTTGTCACCCATATTTTTATACTTGACATCGACTATTCCAGACGCTTCAACAAACTCGCGAAGCCGTTCATAGTCGTAATTGCGTGCATGTAAGTCGGGACTTATCTTTCTCAGATATTTTCCGATATCGGCCAGATTGACCCATTTATCGCCATGCCCCCTGGTGTTGCTAATCGCTAAACGTATTCCAGCGCGTGCCGTAAAATCGACCGGTCTTTTAGGCAGCTGGCTGCGCACCACGATCGGTACCATGCCTGACTTGGATAATTCTTCGGTACGAGATGGCTCCTCCAACTCTTGCGACTCTACGCTCAGCACGTCGAAGTACATGAACTTATCACAAGCCGCAATAAATGCGTTGTTGGTCTTGCGTTCGCCGAAGCCGTAGACTGTAACACCCTGCTCACGAATGCGGGCTGCGAGACGCGTAAAGTCACTATCGCTTGATACCAGACAGAAGCTTGATAAACGGCCAGTGTAAAGTAGATCCATAGCGTCGATAATCATAGCGCCATCGGTGACGTTCTTTCCGGTGGTGTACGCAAATTGTTGAATTGGCGTTATTGAGTGATGCAGAAGACAAGCTTTCCAGCCATTGAGGTATGGGCTGGTCCAATCCCCATAAATCCGCCTGACGCTGGCGGTTCCGTAGTTGGCGACTTCTGCCATGAGGCCAGCAATGATTTTTGGCGAAACATTGTCGCCGTCGATTAGTAAGGCTAAGCTGGAGTCGTTGATAGGCATTCTGTTGACTTCTTACTTGAACATTGGTGTTGGGTGTAATTACATAGTATAATGAAGTCGGGTGGTCGACATCTTACCAGACTCAAGTTCTTATCCTAAAGCTTCTCCCCTTTGCTAAGGAGTACCAGAGAGAGAGACCAGGTACTCTTGTTCAAGAAGATCAGACTTGTTAACAATCAATTAAGTGGGGCTTAGTGATCTCAGATTGAATTGATTGACTTCCTATTTAGGGCTAGCAACTGCTTATATAGGTTTAACTCTTACCTTGTAGGGTTAGTGGCTGGTTTTGAGCTTCGGATTGAATTGATTGTTGACAACTGTGAAGAAGATGAGGCTCCTTCACATGCTCACTATGCCCAACGTCTAGTATACGAAAGGGAGAGCGTGGAGAAGCTCCTCTGGTGTGGCAATTCACCAGATCTTAACGCTATTAAGCCAGCCTAGTCATGGTTGAAAAGGAGAACAATGAGGAAAGGTGCTCCAAAAAAACAGAGCAGAGGCATCAAAGGTATGGCAGGAGGCTTGGAGAGATCTCCCACAACCACAAATACAAGCTTGGATAGAGAGGATTCCATTTCATATTCAAGAAATAATTAAACTTGATGGTGGCAATGAGTATAAGGAGGGTAGGAGGGACAGATCTGTCGAGGTTTCGGCATTACTTCGGTAGTAGTCAAGACACCCCTGTCAGCAAGAACTTTTGAAAGGCACCTCTGTAATGACAATGATTATGAGCTGAACGGCTGTCATGAATTCAAGAACAGCGTTGCGGATAGAAGAGCAATTAAGCATCGAAACAAGGCACTCTCGGGCACGGAGAAACTCACGGAAGGCATATATCCAACATCAGCTCGTCTTCAAATTCTGGGCTCAGAAACTCCTTTACCATGGCTCCCAAGTTATACCTCCGAGAATCAGTCCAGCCTTGTTTGTTGTAGTCAGACGGGGGTCTGAAAATAAATGAGCATTGGATGGCGTCACTGAAACGATCGACGGCGTTACCAAAGCTGCGACAATCCTCGTCGCCGGCTGGTGTCCTGAAGGGTAAATGACTATAAAACAATGTCAAACTAATCATGAACACATGGATCTGCTGTGGGTGCGTTATGTTTGTCCAAGGGATAGATGTGTGTCTTTACAGTGTGTGTCTCGCGACGTAGTGAGTGACCTTAGTATAGCAACTTGCACTCCCAAGACTCCGCCATATTCACATCTCCCGTACTCTTGTACTTTGCCGCCTTCGGATACATGCACAAAGGCCTTTGTTTCGAAACCTCTGCTTGTGTCTTCTCATTCACATACTTTGTTCCTATAATCTGGTCCGGCGCAACACCTTCCTCTACCCAAGCCACCATGGATAGTAGAGCGTCATGCTCTTTGTTCCTGAAACCGGGGACACCGTAAACTGTAGATCCTAGCACAGGAGCTTGATTCGCACCGGCAAAGTACCACGGCGCGTTGACATTCGGCGTCGTGCCCGAACAGTGGCCCATACCTGGGACGAGGAAGAAACGGAAGAAACTGTCGACATCGACGCCTTTGGGCTTTAGGGTCTGGTATACTTGGTTGTAGTAGTATGGTGTTGATCCGGTGGGTATAAGACCGTCAGCCATACCGTGATACGAGAGAATCTTTCCGCCCTTGGCGTGGAAAGACGAGAGATCATAGCCTACAGAGGCATTGCCGGGTTGGAGTTGATTGGCAAGGCGCTGTATGTCCTCGTTGTAGTCGTAAAAGGACCAGTCTTTACCAAGACCAAGGAAGTAGCGCACGTAATCGGTACCGAGGCTATTGGGCTCATTGCCGGAGAGGAGAAACCATTGACCTTCAGATCCAGGATAGAGGTGTGGAAACAAGAATGTCTGGTTTTCGCCAATGGAATCGGTGTAGATCTTGTAAAGCCTGGATATCTGTGGGGAGGTAAGGCAGCCGGCTGATGTAGGGTTGGTGACATTCGCGCCACAGAGAAGCTCTTCAGCGCGGAAGTTACAGCCCACAGGATCGGAGATGATGTTGTCGGCCAGACCGTCCTGAGGGTCGCATTGCTTCAGTACTTCCTTGGCGATAGCTGGAAACAATGCAGGTGGAATATGGTAATCTGCTGTTGCTGGAAGGTTGTACAGTGCTACCTTTACAGTCCAGGGCTGTAAATGCGAGGTCCACCATGCAGGAGCACCAGCGAGAATGCCGTCAAAGTCCTCGGGGTAGAATTCGGCTTCTTTCAAACCTTGGCGGCCACCCGTGGAACATCCGGAGTAGTAATTGTAAGTAATGTCTTTCTTGTAGTACGAGGAAGTAATCGCCTTGCCTGCGACGACCGAGCCGTGCATAGCCAAGTGACCCCAGTTTTCGACTTTGTTGGGCTCATTGGCTGCCCATTGCCCATCGCCCGTTGAAGAGTTGTGACCGGTGTCTGTGGACATGGTAGCGAAGCCATAACGTACGCCTGCTGCCTGGATTCCAGATTAGCTGTTATTTCCGACAGTTCATGAGATTCACAAGTACCATATCCTCCCAGTTGACGCCACCAGCAAATCCTCCATTGCCTACGGCTAGAAATCTTCCATTCCAGTCATCAGGCAAGAACAGGCCAAATCCAAATGTTGTGTTCCCTTTAGACGGGACCTGTACCGAAACAGCACATAGAGCAGGTAGGCCGACTGGGCTGTTAGGATATCCTGTGTCGCTTTGAGGAACCTGAAAGGTCGCGTTCGCTTTCAGTGGGGAAGCAAAGTTGACAGTGAGATCCGATGACAATGCAGCCTGTATAGCTGATGATGAGCAGTCTAGTGCTACTGCAATGCTGCAAATTGCAGTAAAGCTGGACAACGAGGCACAACGCATCGTTATACACCTTGGAAAGATTCAAAGCAACGAGAGGATGTACTGTCAGTGGCAGTCAAAGCCGGCTACCAAGCACTTTAAAGCCCCGAACTACCTGATCGCTCTATTTCCCAGGATCTCCATTGGATCTCCATGGCAATAAGGAAGGTGGACGCTATTCGGGCATGGTTAGTTTCGGATGAATTATCCCGGTACTGACGCACACGCCATACTAGGATGTTCGAAAATTTAGCGTTCCAAGGTTTGGTGCAGACTTGTAAATCCGAAGAATCCTAAACACATCAGCGGTAACGGGGAATTGGTATCTTATAAAATGATAATCTGCTTTTGTACAATTGTATATCGTGTAAGATGAGGCACGGACAATGTTGTTGCAGTTGTGCTCATTCCTTAACGAGCCGAAAAGGAAAGGTGGGGCCCGACTATGCAGCCCGTGCCTGGATGCTAGCGTGTGGAGTATCCACGTCATGGGAATCGGCACTTGGAGAACGATTCCCGATGCCCAAGGACTCTTCCATGTTCTTGTTCTATCGAGCTTCACTACTCTTGCGATGCGTTTACTTGCAGCGGGCAGTCGAGATTCTAAGAATGGCCCTCCATATCCTTTCTCGGACGCAGTTGGCTTCCAAGGTTCGACCATTCCGCATCCAGGAGCTGAATCTACATATAGAACTGGACGTCGAAGTGAAGCGCACTGTAGGACCTGTCTTTTGAAGCTTACCGGAGACTCGACAGTGGAACACAAAGAACATTTGGAGGAGGCATTGTATTGGATGGCTACGACGTATTACAGTCACCTTCTTAGGTGTCCCATTAGTAGACTCCGCAACAATCAATTCAATCCGGTCACTCTCCTAGACCCACTTACCTATCTAGGTAGGGCTTAAACTCCTATAGGTAACTACTAGGCTTAAAGCGGTAATCAATCAATCCAATCTGAACCTTCTAGGACCCACTTAATTGATTGTTGCGGACTGTGCCCATTAGTATCCGGATAAGGTTCGGGGTGTCTATATGCTAGAAGTATGTAAGGAAAGTAGCACAACGACACTCCTGAACAGAGGTAACGTCAGAGATGTCAACAAGCAAGTCAAGCTGGCTTGATTCTTATCGATTGCAGATCACAGACAATATAGAGGCTCGTGCACATTGGCACGTCCAATAAAATTGGCGCCGAGAGACTGGATATAACTGTATCGGTCAACTACGAGGCGAATCTGGAGACAGGCCATGTTAAAAAAGTAGAGAAATTAAAAAGGCAAAATTTCGGGCAGGCGGGGTATGCAGAGGTGGTCTAGTGTGGAAACTCATGCTTGTGGGGGGAGATGTGTCAAAGTTAGTGATTTTTTGTTTTTTAT